AAGGAGTGTAAACAGTTTGTAATGTATGTGTTTTATATTTGTGTATATCTTTTTATAATGCTCTTCTTACCTTTATGTATTGTGCAGGGCAGAACAAATATGAAATAGTCACCAATTTATTTATTCAGTATTAGATACTTAGGTAAAAAGAATAAACCATTCCCCTCATCTATTTTTCTTAGAAACTAAGTTATTCTCTCTTGTATTGTAACACTTTTGCTTAATACTGGAGCTTTTGGCTACTTCTGGAATCTGATGATTTTGCATTAAGTTCTGGGCAAATTTTACACCTTTTACACAATGATCTAAGAATCTATTTTAAAATATTGGAGAACACACATGATTGTAATTCAAGATGTAATTTGCTCATGTGCCTAGTGCTATCAAATATACTACAAATTCATTACTAGAATAGTCTCTCTTGGTAAATTATCATCATCCATATCATCTCTGGATTTCTGTATTAATTAGTTGCTATAGTTATTTAACTTAATCACTGTACATAGCATTTTCAGGAGTCTAAAGTAATTTCTTCAGCACTTTTAAAGAAGCATAAAACCCTGATTGAAAGATTATATTGTTACATAGGTTTCTTCTGAGTCCTCAATCAAATAATTTTCCACGCAGAGTAGATTTTCTGATATCTAGGCTTTTGACACTTCCCTCTATTTGAAGGAACAAGAGCATATGCAGCTGGATTTCTTCTATATTTAAGTGCAACAGGGTTGTATCACAAACATGCCTAGTCTTCTTGTAGTTCACCAGTGTGCTGCTGGTACACTCCCAGTTCCTAGCGTGACTCAGCCACATTATCACCAAAGCTTAAAGAGTGTTTGCACAATCTCACTTCAGCATAATGCATTATGAACATCAAATGAATCCTTCTGGTGTGTAGGATAAGGAATTTCCACTTCAAGTTATTGTCTCTGAATGGGGTTGTAAAGCATGCCCTATATTGTTCATGCAGGAAGTATGAAGTTGTAAAAAACAAGCTAAATTGCCATATTTTATCTGCTAGTTACTTTTGCATTTATTGCATTTATAGACCCAAAGTCCTCCAGGGAATGTGACAAATCCTGATTGTATTTTCTACTTACAGCTTTTATTTGTTTGCAAATGTGGAAAGAAGAAAAACTATTACTTGCTGGGAATTTGTCTAGCTATGTGTATGGATACTCAAGAACTGGTTAAGCTTTAGTTACATTTTCATTATTTTATCAACTTTTGTTCTGATATCATGCACAACTTATATCTGTAAATCTTCGTGTCCTCATCTATGAAATGTAAATACTGAGCAACCTTAGAGTAGTTGCATAACTGGTTGCATAGTTGCTGTACAAACTGAGTATGTTTATCTGTTAATGTATGTGTTATCTGTTCCATAATTTTTCCATTTCTCCAACTGATTCACCCTTTTTCTAACTTCGTTACACTTTTGTTTCTATCTTACATTATGGAGTTCTAATGTTGCAAGAGTTATGAAAAGCTTTGGCTCTTGAAAGAATTGCTGTTTGCTTATTCGCTGGTGCTAGTATAAAGAGTTCAGAGAAGGGAGTTCAGGTGTTAGGAGCAATAGATATACAGAACTTGCCAGGTAAATTTTTATTTGCTTCTAATGCTGCAACCTTTGTGAATCTTACTACAGCACATGCCCAAATAATTAGACTTCCAAATTAGGAAAAAAAAAAAAAACAAACCACAAACCATAGTATGCAGCATATAGTAAGTAAAGCCTTTTAGATCATTTGAAGCATTTCCTTTGAGGCATTCTTTAAGTATGCATTCATTAGAGGAAGCTGCAGATTTGGAAGTGAAAAGTAGCCTGATCAAAACCTCCAGTTGCAATTTTGTGATGTTCTGGTTGTCAGAAATAACCAATGGTGATAGGAAAGAAATCTATGAACTGTGTTATTGGAAATACACATGGCAGCACAGAATGTTAGGAAATAAGTAACTGTTTGGAAATATGGATAAGAAGCATGAGTTACATGGGAAAAAGTAATTTGTCACAATCCTTTTCTGGTTTGGGAATTTTCAATAGCTGTGGTTTATCTTGTTAGGAACCTATTGTTTATGAGCTCAGTTCTGCTCTTCATATAGAGTGTATCAGGAACAATGTATTTTAGCTTTCTCAGGTCTTTTTCCATGTATGGCTTATGTCAACAGAATGGCTATTACTGAGAAACTTCATCTGGTATAATTCGTACTTTGTTGTTGTGACAAGAACTAGGGAGAGCAGAAAACTGGGTTTATGGGAAACCAAGGCATGTTTCATATCACTTTTTCAGACAGTTGATTTTACTATGTTTTCAAAAATTCCCCCCACCAAGCCTAATATAAGGAATGTTGCCAAAACACTGCCCAGATGAACTGCTGCCTCACCAAGGCTGGTGTTAGGGTTCAAATTGCAGCCCATACTGTTAGGCTAAGGTGGTAACTTCACCATCTTTGTTGGTAATACACTGAGGTTTATTTCTCTGTAAAACATTTGTCAAACTTCTGCTGGACAGTTTCATGTGACAGGGAACCTATTTAATCTCATTTTTTATTTTCAAAGAAGCCAGAGGGGTTCTACTGAATTTCAGTCAGATTTGGGTACTTGGTCCTTGTTAGCCTCCTCTGAAAAATCATAGTCCCCATGTCTGATTTCACACGGAGGCACCACCATTTTGCACTCCCTTCCCCACTCTCTTATTTTTCCCTTTTTGGTGTTAAGCACAGAAGAGAAATATGAAACTAATGCAGGGAGAACAGTGAGGTCATTCATCAGACTCCACATGCAAAATCAAGAATGCTGAAGCCCGACCTGCGACTTCCAATTAATGGTCTCTAAGTCTCATGTCAAATCTAGTGACTGTTCTGTTGGTTTATGGCAGCCTTTGATGATTGACATTTGCCACGTAGGCTGAGGCAGCAATAAGGAAGCTGTGCCTGGCCTGAGGGTGCAGCTGGGCCTTGCTGCCCTGAGCAGTCTGTGGAGGCCAAGCAGAGGAAGGCCCACCACCAGGCACTGTGTTTCCCCTGGCATGGGCACCATGTGTAATGGCTGGGAAGCTACAGTCAATAAGCCAGATCAGTTTCATGATCAATGATTCTATTGTATTACAAGTCATTACCATAAGGTACAATGAGACAAGAACCTTAGCCCAGGTCCCACACTTGAAAAACACTAACAGCAAATACTGGCTCCAAGGTACGATATACTGAAACTGTGAGATCAAGAGAAACAAGTTTGAGAGCCAATAAATCAGCATTGTGAAGAGTGACTATTAATCTAAAACAATAAATGCTTATCACAAATACGATTAGACACACTCCAGACAGATCTGTCGTTATCTCAACCCTTCGTGCCCCACGTTGGGCGCCAAAAACAACTGCCATAGTCCGTAGTCCGGCCCAAAAGACAGCCCGTGCCCTTCCGGGTAACTCCCAGTTACCTCCCCATGCATGACATGCTATGGTATGGATTACCTCTTTGGCTAGCTTGGGTTCCCTCCTCCCTGGCAGAGCATGAGACTCACAAAGTCCTTAGTCAGAGTAAACATTACTGAGCAACAACTGAAAACATCGGTGTTATCAGCTCTATTCCCAGGCTGAAAGTCAAAACACAAAGCTGCACCAGCTACCAAGAGGGAGAAAAAATGGACTGCTACTGCTGAACCCAGAACAACATAACACAAAGCCTGAACCCATGGCTGTGGGGCAGAACACCCTGCACAGGTCCTTGGTTGGTTTGTTGGCTGGTCCTTGGTTTCCTGCCAGCACACTGTAAGAATGAATACTTTGAAGAGTACGATACTACCCCCTTTTTGGTTTGGGGGGTTTTGTTTACTTGTTTGGGGTTTTTTATGGGTTGGTTGGTTGGTTGTTTCTTTTCTTAATACATCTCAAATGCATGACCTAGACTCATGCTCAGGTTAAGTATCTGAAAGAATGATACTGGCCCTGTGATAGGAGGACTGGAAGGATTTCCTTTTTGAGGCCATCCTTCTGAGACCTGGACATGGGCAATAAGCTACTGTGCATTGCAGGGCATGTGCAGATGTGCTAAACAGCATCCAACTTCACGGAGCGACGCCAGCAAGCCTGAAAGCATGGGCGGTGCTGGGGAAGAGCAACGAGTGGTGAAGGAAGGAGCGGACAGCGCAGAGCGCTCCTGAGGGACCAGGCTACCTGCGGGATAAGGGGCTGCTGTGCGGAGCAGGCTCAGTGCCGCTAGCACCCGAAGACATGGTGCCTCCTTTAACCGTTTCTGTCCTTTTTCAGCCCGGACTGAGCCGCTACAGTGCGCACTGCCGCTAGGGGGCAGCGTGCCTGCTTCCCTCCGACAGTTAGTCCCCCCTTCCCGCCCGGCCGTTGCTCCCCCCTCACAAGCCCCGCGGCCCCTGCTGGGGGGAGCGGCCTACCCTTCGCCATCGCTCCCCGGAGCGGCTTTAAGGCATACCGTGAATAAGGAAACGTGGGTAAAGTCAGCCTAATGAGCACGGCATGCTGCTGCTTCCCTTCTGGAGCGATTCTTCTCGCTGCAGAGGTATCTCTCATGTAACTTGAGACTGCGGTCTCAAGAGAAGTTTTCCGTTTTCAGTTGACCTCATTTCAGTGAGCTAAATAAAATACTGAATACAGTTGGTGGTTTAAGCACTGTTTCAGAATTTGCACTGAGCCTGTGGATATTTACTTCTCTGCGTTCTCCTTACATGGCCTAAAGAAGTTTATCGTTTTCTGGGAAAAAACGTAATTCTCCTCACATGTGGAAGACATTACATTATATCTGTTTCTGCTTCTTGTTTTGCATTCTTACGCCATCATGTATTATTTCAGAAAGTAAATATACATGAATTATAGCTAAACAATAAAGCTGTGGGGTTTGCTTTGAATTTTGCCGTAGAGAGCAGAAAAAAAGGTCATGATTATGTCCTGAGAATGTGAGGATTGCCAAAATACACAGTAGATACTTTTCAGAGAAAAACAGTACATATCGAGTAACTGTTGAGTCATAAAACCCTCAAGTTAGTGTAAGCAGATGTTGGTTATAGCTCACATTGGTGGGAAGTATATAATCACCACCCGTATAGCCACCCACTGTCCATTTCTGGTCCTAAAACTTCCTCAAAAGTGTGTTTCTAATTTTATGGAAACCCTTTGAAATTTGGCATAGTTTTCAAAAGTATGTAGGGGAAAAAAAAAAAAAAGATAAAGTCTGCCAGAGGTTTAGCCTCCAACTGTGAAAACAGACACTGCCTTTTCAAACTCCTCTCCTAGATCCACTGACCAACACCCAGAAGAGAGAATTTACATTCTTTGAGAATACAGCAGGAAAATGAAGGTCTGTATGCTGCCGAATTCTGCGTTTGGTAACATTTATATCTGTTGTTCTCAACTCTCAGCTGTTGCACAAGGCCAGGCTCTGATGTGAAAGTATTTGTTTTAAAGAAAAAGGAAAGGAAAGTAATTTCAAATGTATTGCAGGGACATTTTTGCTTGTTGCTTGTACGGGTTGCAGCAGTTAGAGTGGAAGGATTTAATTATTTAGAAGCCATAGAAGCATGCTTCAGACAATATTAGAAATGTAATTACTGTTTGTTTCTGTCCTGCAGACCCGGCTAAAAATAATTTTTGGCGTGGTTATATGCCTTTTGCTTTCCTTATTACTGGTGTGTATTATACTGCTTCCATCAAGAGGTAAGGCATTTGTAATGTAATGTAGTGTAAAACACAGTATCTTTAGCTATTATGGCTTCTAAAGTTCACAAAAGTTTGTTAAGTCATCTCTACGGTTGTCCTGTCCTTTCAGACTTGTTATGGCTTTATCGCTTTACAGAAATGTACTGACAGCTGAATATCCTGAAGGTAGGATTGAAATGCCAGTAGATGCTGAAACAAGGAACTCCTTGTAGTGAAAAGCACCTGAATTAACTTTCTTGTGCAGGACTGCAAAAATAATTCTGAGATCTCATATTTTGTTAATTTTTGTGTTAGAAGTCAGGAGACTCTCACAAACTGTTAGTAATTTCCTTTAGCTTGGTGAACTTGTATTTGGTTTTAAATTGTGTAATAATTACAGAAGTTCTCTATCCAATTACAAGTTGAGCATTTTGTTGTAGGTAGGGTATGATTGTGAATATACATAATATTGCATTTAAAAATTAAAGTCAGCATTGTATAAAATAGGGATGCATAGTTTGCTCTGTTTGCTCTATTATTGTTATATACTGTTACATATATATTTGCTCCAGTAGTATTAAGCCAGCTGTAGGAAAATTAGTCCTCTAGAAAAGTCTGAAGTATGTGTGGTTTGAAATTTAGAGGTTGAGTGGGGCTCTCTTTATGGTAATATTTTCTATGAGAGGTGTGTTAAGGGCTATTTAATTATTTATGTGACCCTTTCACTGTAGCAGATTAATTGAACGACTCTAAAATAATTAAAATAATAATAAAAAGCCTTCATTCTACTAACAGTATCTATTTAAAGGGTTTTATTTTTTTAATTATTATTCTTTGTTCATGTGTTGGCAGTGTGACCAAGATTAATAAATCAGTTTTGCATTTAGAACTAAGCGGTGCAAAATCAGTTATCTACTTGTCTTATGCAAGTTAGATACTGTAGGTAATATGCAGGGCTTGTGAAGGGTGAAATCTCTTTACTACTTTGGATTTCTGTGGAATATAGTCATCATGGGTGGGTTTTTTTTGAGAGAAGAAATGGAGGTTTCTGAAGCAGTTATGGTTGATCCTGTTATGCAGCATGAGAATATGAAGATAGGTCATATCAAGGATAGATCATGGAAGGTACTGTAGGAGGAAGTGAATGTGTTTTTCCCTTCTGAGGTTATCACATACCAGCTCACTAGTCTTGTTCTGAGCCTCTTTGGTACCTGGGCCATTACAAAGAGCACATTTCATCTGTATAGTTTCTTGGAATGGTGACTTTGTGTCATATCAGACATCACGTTTAGATTCAGTAAGATGACAAAGAATTTATCTTTCTTTACTGAATGCTTTTGAAAAAGTATTTTAGACAATTGTGGATTAAACAACAGATGATCTTACGGTCCTTTCCAACCCTAATGATTCTATGATTCTATGTTGAACACAATTATATTGAACACATCTGATTATGTCCTTATTCATAGGTGGAAGTGCAAGCGATGCAGTTACCTGTTTGAAGGCCTTTCAAATTCTTTGTAGTATACTGATCAGTTGTTAATGGAAAAATATTAATTCATGTTGCAGTTACACATTTTGCAAGTCAAAGAAAGGAAATGGCTACAGAAATGGAATGTTGTTTGCACATTCCACCTTTGCTGCTGTTTAACTGAAAGGATGTGGCAATCTAGCAAGACAATTAATTGCATACAAGGAATGTATAGACACAGACCAACTAAACTTCTGCGTAAGAAATCAGCAAAGAAACATGTCATATGTGATTCTGAAAGAACTGGAAGAAACATCTAGTTCTAGTTTTGTCTGCTGAGTTTCTAGTAACTTCATATTCCTTAATACCTCAAGATTTGATAGCTGGTTTTGGTTTACATATGGAAGAATATAAAACTGTGAAAAATTCTCAAAAGTTATATTGGGAAACAATTATGTTTGGAGATGAAGTCAGGGGGAAATACTTAGTTGCAGTTATACACAATTTCTGTGGGGCTCAGAAAAGCAAGATGGGCAATCTCAATATAGCAAGTGGCATCTATGCCTAAGAAATTAGTGATGGGGTTTTGACATTTCTTTGACCTAGGGATGTGCTGAGTGATTTACCTAACTATGATAACCCAGGTCTAAACTGTTCAGAAAGGTTCTTTTCACTTACACGCTGCTGTATCTAGGCCTGTTCTGCAGCATAAACAAGAAAAAACAAATTTGTCTGCAGTTGAAAAGCAATAGCAAAACCATAGGCAGTTACAATTAACTGAATGTATTTCTCAGATACCAAATTAATCTTTTCTTTTGCTATTTTTAATGAATATTCAGAATCAGAACTGTCATGGTTTAAGCCCAGCTGGCAAATAAGTACCACATAGCCACTTTCTCACTCCCCACCCTGAAACCCAAGTGGGATGAGGAGGAGGATCAAGGAAAAAAAAGGCAAAATCCATTGCTTGAGATAAGAACAGTTTAATAATTAAAATAAAGTAAAATACAATAATAATAATAGGAAATAAAGAGGGAGAAAACAAATGAAAAAAAAAAAAACCCAACCAAACATAAAAACAAGCAAGTGGTGCAAGATACAATTGCTCACCACCTACTGACCAATGCCCAGCCTGGCCCTGAGCAGCGATCAGTCCCTTCCTGCCCACTGCCCCCAGTTCATATACTGAGCATGTTGTTCTGTGGTATGGAATGCCTCTTTGGCTAGTTCAGGTCAGGTGTCCTGGCTGTGCTCCCTCCTAATTTCTTGTACCCCTCCTCATTGGCAGAGAGCATGAGGCTGGAAAGTCCTTAACTTGGGTAAGCGCTACTTAATAACAACTAAAACATCAGTGTGTTATCAAAATTATTCTTAACTAAAGCACTATACCAACTACTAGGAATAAAATTAACTCTATCCCAACCAAAACCAGAATAGTACATGTCAATGTTTCTGTCCCCATTGTACACTTGACCTAGACCTGAGACCAAGCCCCTGCCTCTGATGTTGTAGATCAGATTGGAGGCCATACTTCTCCATCAGCTAAAATCTTTCTAGATAAACCCTATATTCTCCATTATGTTATACTCCCTTAAGAGGGTTCAGTCTGCTATGCTTGTACAGCAGCAGTCTGTGACAATACTTCTAGGACTATGGGGTTGGGTGGGCCTTTTCTTTCCAAATCTGACTAGTGGTTTGAAGAAACTCTTTGTCACTTACATTCTTAAAATGGCATGAAGTGCTTACCCAAAACAGACTCTATTAATTTTCTGTGCATTAATTTTCACATGCTGGTGGCAGAATAAATACTCCGATTTAGGACTATTTTAAAGGGGTTACCAAAAAAAAATCTCTCCAAGTCTATGCTTAGAAATGCAGTATGATGGCTATGATCCAAGGTTAAATTTTTATACTAGCTTTTCTTTATATTTTCTGAAAACATTATTTTCAATAGATGAAAGGGATTATAGTGATTCTTTCTTAGTCTATCACTAAGGAGGAGAGCTTTTTCCCTTTCCTAGACCCTTAGCAGTAGAGATGTTAGAGTCTGTAGTAAACTAAACCATTCTCATTCTAGCACGCTTTACCTTTCTGTACACACTTTCTGTTCCTAACAAGAGCTGTATCATACTGAGGAACATGACTTGTTCAGACTTCATCTTTTCTTCTCATTCCAAAGGGTGTTTTTGAAGTAGCTTTCGCTGAGAAACCAGTGTTACACCTCATAAAAAAATGACTGAATGTGATGTGGGTATAGAAATGCAGACTGAGCTGATGTGGAGCCGAGTGTGACCAGAAGCTCTGGAGCAGATCAGGAGTGTTGGAATTAATTTCTGATGCTGAACTGAGCTGTGGTCTCCTCAAGTGGAAGGCTGTTTTCCTGTGCATGTTGAAGGAACTTGCACTTTAGATATTCAGCATCAAACAGCAGAGATGAGAATGGACAGTCTAGTTCAGAAGCAGAATATAGTACTGATAACCACTTTTCATTTGCAAGTCATCTTGCCGTGTAGCAGTGGCTGCTAAATAAAATACATATAAAAATACATATATATTAATTGCTTACAAATACATATACCTATATACAGTTACATATACAAAAATAAAAAATACAGAAAACTGAATACTTATTGATTATTATGTATACTTTCTTTAATTTGGCAGCAGTAGACACTATTTATATGGATGCACATTAGACCACATTGTAGAATAAGTCAACAGGGCTTTGAAATCTAATGCAAGGGTTGTATTGGTCTAGTGGTCTTTGAAAGGGAATAATCCTGATAATACAAACAGAATTTCATAGTGATGGATTGCTGTGCATAAAGTAAATCTGAGCTTAATATAACTGAAAGTTCATCTTTTTGTGTTTTATTAAGCTCTCTCACAACAGTGAACTGAACAGTAAAGGAGAAGGTGTCTGTATAAACTCAGTAACATTTAATAGATTCTTACAGGCTTTTATCACCATGATTCACATGTATGGCGAATACACTCAAATGCACAAGTGAATCATTATGATCATGGAATATATAAAGCAAGTTAACTGACTTGGTGCAGAAATACAGAACTACATGCTGTAAATGGATGCAAATGGACCACAAAAGATTAAAACTGAGGCAGTGGGGTGGTAAAGGGAAAAGAGCAAAGCTGAAATTTGGTAAGCTTTCATTTCTTTGGTTTGCTCAGCTATTTGCTTCCTTGTCCCTTGGCATCTTTTTTCATCTTTATTTCATTGAGAAACACAACACAACAAAAGACTTTACCAGGCTCACCAACAGCCATCCAAATCAGTGTCTGTACAGTGCTGCAGACTTGTAACGTAATCTTCATGTTAGGGTTTGTTCTGTGAGCAGAGATTTTGAATACTATTACTGAGCCAGTCTTTAGTTTCAGAAGAAAGAATCAGCAACAATTATAGAAAACTATTAAAAATGGTGCCTTTAATTAAAGCATTTAAAACATTTGAAGATATCTTCTGTTGCCTAGAAACAAGCATTCAAAATTATAAGTAATCAAGTAAGAAATAGTTGTGTTCACATTTTTTGCAGTCCACTGGTAGAAATTCAGATAGGAGTGGACACATTTTGAAAATCATTAGCAGTCATAATAAATTATCACAGAATATTAAGTATGTATGTGAGATGACTAACAGAGTAAAGGTTTAAATTAGAGCTGTGAAAATTAGACCAGAGAAGAGACATTTGTGATATTGCTTGTCTTTTTAGTAAAAAAAATCCTCTTAATCTGAGAGAAGGAACCAGGAAATTTTACCAAATTAAGGTATCAAAAAGGACTGCAAATATAAGCCTCCTATACACGCAGCCATAGAAATAGATCTTAACAGTGGATTTCTTTTGCAAATAGGCATATTCACACGGGGAATTTAAACTGGAAGCTAGTGATAAGTAATAATCACTCAGTATAAGTAGAAGTGAATTCTTGTTTGGAATTATTTTCTATGCATTTTTTTAAGAGCTTGACATCTTTATGCTTATCGTTAGCATATCAGGGATCTCTAATATACAGTCACGGCATTACCAAGAAGAATTAACTTCTTACTGAACTTCTTGAGATATTTTCTGGACATACTGCTAGCTCAGAGTTTATACCAATGGGTTTTTGCCTGTGGATTGGCATTCAGTTTTATTTCTTATGACAGCTTTCTTCTGCATTAGTGCAGACAAGGCTAGTGTCAAGTCAACCTGACATGTGTATTCTACAGTAAATAATAGTCACCAGAAGAAAATATGTATTATCATTATGAAGTACTATGGAAGAGAATATGAAGAAACATTTCCCAGGAAGTCACTGTGATCTTAACAGAGGGGGCAGCTGTAATGAGGAAGTGATGGAGCATGATATGAAACCTGAGGGCAACGAGTCATCTTGATTATCTGGCTGTCACCTCATTGCTCTGAAGGAACAAACAGGGGAAGTGGCAGAGATCTACTCAGCTGCAGTGTGACATCTCCTGTCTCTGAAGACTGTGGCAAACGTCCCCTTGATTTTAAAGGAGGAAAGCATAGAATCCAGAATGCCTAGACTTAAAAGCTGCAATTACTGTGGTACTGAACTTTAAAAAGTGGCCTTTATCAGAAATGTTCCTATATCTTTTGAGGATTAAATATTTTGAGTGCTCTTTCTCTTGTGAGCTGCGTAGGTTTTTGCCTTTTTTTTTTTTACATTTTTGCAAAGGATTTTTTTTCACTTTCATGCACTTAGCAAACCAGCATTTTCAAATTACCCAATTCCCATATAGGTGCTTATCCTTAAGCTTGGTTTTTAAATTCTGCCATAGCTTATGCTGTTTAGCACTGGGAGGAAATATAGTCAAACAAAAGCCACAAAACCAGACACAATTTTATTCCTTATTTTTATGCAGCTGTCCAATATGCTTACAAATCTAATATCAGAGTACCTTTCTTCTCTCCAGAATCATTGCCAATTTTCTTTTGCAGCATTAAATTAAAAGTTGAAGTTCAGGTTCACTCATTCATTACTTTTCAGCTTTATTTTTATCAGCATACCTTTATCTATTATTTTTTCATGTAGCTAATAAGAGAAATATGTGAATGGTGATCATTTTGGAAGCCCTATGTCCATCTTCTAACTCTGGTTGATGAGGTATTTATGAAATTTGGCAGTAGGGGTTAGTAAGTACATCCTGCTGTTTGAGTCTGCTGAATATATGCAAATTCCTATTAAAATATTTGTCTCTACATACCACACAAGTTCATGAAACTGTGCTTTAGAAAAAAACTTTGATTTGTCTTCTGCATAGAAAAGGCTCTTCTGGGACTCATGGGGTCTACAAGCAAATATATCTGAGTGAAAAAATGACTGGGTGAACTAGATTAGTTTGTGGTTTTGTGTGGACCTTACCAGAACAGTAACAGAAAACTTTCTGCTGTGCCTACTTACTGTCTGTGTACTTCCAGGATTATGCTATCCTCACTATTCTCTGGTGCTAAAGAGAAAAAAAAGAAAAAAAAGGGAAAGAAATAATGGACTAGTAACTGCTTCTTTTTTTCTTTTTTTCCTTTTTTTTTTCCACACTTCACACTATTGTATTAACAGAAACTTTCTATCGTCTTAGTTGTCAACACAGATGATGGACCCAGAGCCCTCACACTGGAGGATTACCTGAATGGAAACTTCCAATATAAAACATTTTTTCCATATTGGGTGTCAGGTAAGTAAAACCTTTCCTCAAAAGTACATGAGCCTTTTTAATATATATTTCCAAACTGGTTTACACAGACTGAGAAATGTATTTTCCTTCCAGCTTTACTGTGAATGAATGCTAACTATGAAATTAAAACAATCTGCTAGTCAAAACTTATGGTTGAAATTTACTATTCTGTCAGTCATTCTAGAAATTCCAGGTATTTGATGTTTCAACAGACATGTTTGAGTCAAGTATAATTTTACAGAGGCTTTCAGTGTTTTATTTCTTTACTGTCATATTCATTGCAGTAAGTGAAAGAAATACATCAATGTGTCAGTAATTTCTTAAGCAATCTTCTTCTTTGTGTTTGTCACAGCCCTTTTTCACTTATCATTTGTAATAATTGAGGTAGCCTATCTTACAGGCCCCATTCTCCTTTGTTTTCATGAGTATTTAGGTCTGCAATGAGCCCAGCTGATTTTGTCTCATCTAACGAAATGTTGATACTGCTGAAATTCCAAAGTTCCAAAGCATTGCATAGAAAATAAGGTTGAGTTTCTGAGTGAGTTCCTTGAGGTAGAAGATAAAGACATGAAATTAATTGCTGCTGAGATATGTATCTGTGCATGGCAAGCACCCAAAGACTTGAACTAGATTGGGTTACAGTCTAGTACACACACTACCACTCCATCTATGCGCTGCTTCAAGCAATTGTTCCTGACTCAAGACAAGAAACATAGTGCCCATTCAGAAGCGGTCTTACTAAGTTAGTTTTTACCCACAATTTTTTGAACTTAGCTGAAGCTTTCCAGGGCATTGCTTGCAGCAGTTCAAATTTTACAATTAATAATTTGAAGTATATTGACATCACTTGTATGATATAAAAATTAGGTCACCGTTTGTTAGAATTCTGTCTGAATGTTTGAAGTATGTAGGCAGCATATCACCTAAACCTAATATTTTCCTTCCCTCTTTATATCCTTCACACTTAGACTTATCTTTCCTCTTAACAGTCACAAAGCTCACGCAAAAGTCATGCCATAGATTCCATAGATAGTCATGCCTACAGCATTCCATATGTCTACTTTTCTTCTGAAGCAAGGAGTTAAAATTGACTATCTCTAAGAGTGCCTGAGATCACCAAAAATGCTGTTAACACAAATCACAGAAGTGTGCTCAAAAGATCCAAGGGTGATCCAATTTCCTAAAAATGAACACCTTATACAATGTTTCAGGCTGCCTGTTAAAGACTCTCTTTCTTTAGCTACACCATGTAATTCCTTCTCTCTGTTTCTAGCAGCAAAAAATAATAATGTGAAACTAAAATTCTCATCTTTGTTTTCTACCAAACCATGTCTCAGGTCTTGAGCACAGGTTGGGTTCAATTCCATTTGCTTTGTAGGGCACTCATCCTTACTTTGTAGGGCCTGTGTGAGTAAGGGGAGTATCATTTACATAGTGTCAGTTACATGATACTGCTGTTATTCATGGAATCTGTAGAAATGAGAATGTTATGGTTTTCTTGAAAACAGCTACGTTGCGATACTGACCTTCTAATGGGTCTGTCAGTGGTATTCTTGATCAATTACTAAAATCTGGCATGTAATCATAAAGTTAACTAGCTGATTCTTTGTGCAGTGTGTCATATTGACAACATACTCGGGAACCCTGAAAGCAGGTTGTTGACAACTCTGTACCTTGGCATCATTAGGAAAAAAAAATTATGTAGATGCCAAAAGATTTTGCTCAAAGCCTATTCGTTGACAGGAGTGTGAATACTTTGATAAATGGATCTTTTCTGTAGTATCTTCTATGCAAGGTAACAGCCCTTTTATCTTGTTTATAAAGACAATGAATATCTTCATCAGTCTGCAGAAGATGACATTATACTCTACAATGTTGAAATGAACTACCCAACTACCATCATGACTAACAGCACAATGGTACGTACCATTCCAATTAATAAAAAGGCAGCAAAATGCAGTTGCATTTCAAGTACCAGTTTAAAAGTGAGTGGATTAAAACTCATCAAATCCTTTTTTTTTACTAGAATCTAATCTACTTCTGAATCTTTCAGAAACAAGTGAATGCTTCAAATTATGTGTTGTCATCTGACAAGTATTTCATAGCTCTGGAAAGCAATTATTCAAAGGTAATTAATATACCACTTCATGAAATGTTTGGTTTCATTTAGTATTTTGTTCGTTGTGATAGCTACAGATAAATCTTTCTTAGTACTTTCTCGAGAAATGACCAGGCTATAAAAAGACAGCTGATTACTTTTATATTATCTTGTCCAAGTCAATAATATTATTTTCCTACTTAATTTTTGCAGCTGTGGAGATACTCCTATACAGCATCATACCACATTTATGATCTCATATATGGGTAAGGCCAGATATCTCTTAACAGGGAACTATGCTGAATACTTTGTAGCGATGTGCTTGCATTTCCATTGAAAAACTCCACAGTAATGTGGCTACCACCCTGCTTTGCTTTTGCCTGAATCTATCAGGTTGTTTGCTTGACAAAAATGGCCTTTAAGAAAATCATACAGTCCTTTCACCTACTCATACAGGTATTTAGACTGATTTATATTTCATGCCCTAAAACTTTCACTGCTTAAGATTCGCATATATTTTTCTTCTTTGCATAATTTTCTCCCACCCTATCTTGGATGATTGAGTCTACTTCAGCTTTCACACCTGGTGTCTCCATGTCATTTTGTTGTCTAATTCATCCTTTTTATGGTTGATCCAATCTTTAGCTTTCCTAGAGCTCTCACATTTCCTTTAGTGCTGCAGTGACCTTGGAACAGTCAGTCCTGGGTTCCTCAAAACTTTACAGCTTCTCCCATAGTATTTGGTCTCTTTCCCAAGATCTTCCTCAAACCACTACTCTTTCCACCCAAGTTTGAAGAGGGCCACATGTCTCCCCAGTGACTTTTTATACCTTAAGTAGTAACGTGACCAAATGCTTCTCAGTTCTGAGCAAAAGGGGCTGCACTGAGCTGCTCCACTCATGCGAAACTGTTGGTTCAAGGTGACAGGAAAAGATTGCTGCAAGCTAATGTGAGTAGAGAGGTACTGCATGTGGGTCCTGATCCTTAACAAATGTTGTAACTGCTGCTGTTATGGTTGCCTTAGCATGCGATATCCTGAAAACACATTTCCCAGTAACTTGCTGAGGCTGCAGATGGAGCAAAGTACTGTAGATGGCTAAGCAGTATTTAGAAAGAGATAAGGCTGGCTTATTCTGCTGTTGAATGTTTTCAAAAGGTTGAGTTAGAAGGCTTTACCAGCACTGGTGCACACCATCACATTACTGCATGTCGCTCTGCCTGCCTTGATTTTGCATGGCTCAAAAAACAATCAGGTGTTAGAAAACATAGCCCTCCATGAATTTTATATGAATGTACAGTATAATGATCCATTTGCACTGTGCACAAAAAGCCATCTCAAATTCTTTTTTTTTTTTTTTAGTGGTTTTGTAACAGAAAATCAGCTTCCACATAAAATTCAGTATATATCCTGGTCACCCACTGGACACAAATTGGTCAGTAAAGATAACAAAGCACTAAAATTATTTTGCTTTGTGTGGCTAAAAAAACATTTGTTTGCCTTTGGTTATTATTTTATTAGACTATATTTTGAAAGGACTATGTGTAATAACCTCGGTTGTAAGCAAGACTGACAAAACAGTTTTAGCTTGTTAAAATTTATCTTGTCTGTGTCTAGATAGATAGAAGAATTGTGTTGTCAGCTATATTGCGTGTTTCAGTTTGCCAGCCAATCTCCTATCAAGAATTGACCAACATAATTGTATATCAGCTTAAATGTAGTTTCAGGGCCTGAAAACCAATGTGTTTTCCTTTGACACTGTGTAACACATGTGTTTGCTATGGAGATTTAAAGGAGCAGTGTTTAAAATCTTTTCTAAAATTTTCATCCTAGAAAATGGCTGTCAGGTTCTTATTACAAAAAATGTTATTTTCTTTTCTTTTTAATAGCTACTTGATATCTCAGTAATGATAAAAGACTTATTGCATAGTAATGAGTTTATAAACTGTTTTCATTCTTGGGTCCAAAAGATCAGCCCAATAACAATTAGTGTTTTTTAACTACTTACCCAGTATTGAAAAATATTTGTGCAAAAAAAAATTGTAAATATCAAACTCATTTCAGAAAATACCCAGGAGTGCGCTACATATGAATGGACAATTTATTAGGAATATTTCTCCATGTTCTAGGAGAGTATTAGTTCTCCCAATTTAGTTAAATATTGTCATTTTGTTATCAAGAATTCTGAAGGCAGTTTCCTATCTTCCTGGTACCAGTAGTCTGTGATGTTTTTATATCCTTGTATCAGATCTGAGAGTTTTAGGAGTTGCTTTGGTTTTCATTTAAAGCACAACATAGTCAAATGTTACACTGATATTGCTAACAAATGTTAATAGCTTCAGAAGGCATGCTTTTCTAAGAAAGTGAAGTTTCTGTTGCTGGTTTCTTAACTACATGTCCATTCATTTGATTGATTGAAATTTAGAGATATACAAGGCCTGCAAGCATTTCTTGCAAGAACTCTCTTTTAATAACTAGTTTATTAGACACGAACAAAACAACCCAGAGTGAGTAAAACCTTTTTTTGTCTCATTTCACATCACCTAGGCCTTTTGACGGATTTTTTAAAGTTTGATTATATTCATTTTAGTCATTGTGGTTTGGTGGGTTTTTTTATCTTCTAGTTTTGGTGGAAGCAGATAGAGAAGACACAAAACACTTTGTCTGAGGGTCACTTACAAAACAAAGCAATTTGAATGAGTTTTTGTTGTTGTTTTTTTTTCCTTATTTTCCAAACCAAAACTTGCCACAAAATCCTCTGAAGTTATTAAATTCAAAGGAGCTGCTAAGGATTTATTCTGACATGGGTGAACATAGAATTTGGCCTGCAATGTATCATTTATTTAGTGAGGTACCTACTCTTGCAGAATTTGCAACAGCTTGTTGTGTAGCATTTATTTCCCATTTTGTATTTGTTGTGTCTTCTTGTTGGTATAATGTAAGAGCATTGGCTGCAAAAGATCTTACTCTAACCTCTCTTACTGGTGCCTATATTAATAAGAAATACTTTCTTGTCTTTAGGTATATGTATATCAGAATAATATCTATTTGAAACGAAGTCCAAGAGAGGCACCAATTAAAATAACTACTGATGGAAAGCAGAATGAAATATTTAATGGGATTCCTGACTGGGTCTATGAAGGTAAGTAAATCTTGAAGAACGTCAACTAACATGTTAAATGCTTTGTTTAGATTACCTAGTTCTCAAAATCCAGTCTAAAATACATGTGATGATGCACTATTTTTGGAGCCCGAAAGATTACTGTATTTCCATATTTTATTTTCCATACAATGACTGCATTTTGTATTCATAGTGTGTAAACATACTCTTAGGTGTTTTGTTACTGAAACTATATCAGACCTTATATACCGGGCTTCCTTCTGCTGCACAGGCAATAGCTGGGCATTCAGCTTTAATGGAATTTTTAATTTTGGTGAAAATTTGGCATTTCAGTGCATAAAAAAAATAATTTAAGAAACTCCACATACATACAGAAAAACAAAAACGAACAACAAGCGAGTTAAATGGGATCTCTGTGCCTTTTTGAGAGTTCTTAAGACCTTTCAGAATTGAGATGTATTGCAATATGTTAAGTGTTATTTATTTAGTATAACTCACTTTATATATCTAAGTGCTAAATGCTAAAATAGATCGGAATGAGAAACAATGATAAACTATTATGATTTGGGTTTTTTTCCTCAGAGGAAATGCTAGCAACAAAATATGCATTGTGGTGGTCTCCAAGTGGAAAGTATTTAGCATATGTACAATTTAATGATACTGACATACCAGTTATTGAATATTCATATTTTGGTGAGGACCAGTATCCTAGAAAAATAATTATCCCCTACCCAAAGGTATGTTTTATCATTCTTTTGACTTTCTGTTGATAAATGAGTTATGGGTCATTTGATAAAATTAACTGTGCTTTAAAAATTGTAATATTACAGTGGTTAAATCCATTATGTCCTAAATTTATTTGGGGGGGGGGGCACAAACAAAAATCCAAAAAACTTAAGCCACGTTCTGAAAAGCTATAGGTACATTCAAAACTGTAGATATTTAATAATATCAGTGAAATAAATGGAATTACTCATGTAAGTAAAGAGCACGTGCAAGTCCATGCTTGCATGGTCAAGCCTTGTTTTTTCAATTCAGTCTACTTATTGTGATGTGTTAACTATGCTGTTGTTATTTTTCATTACAGTAAATTTTGAAAAATAAAGACTATAACAGCTTCAGTTTATTTGCACACTTCATAGTGCTTTTTGATCTCAAGGGGATTTGGATATTAACTGCTTTCAAGTGCCAGATCTAAGGCAAGAAGGTTTTGGTTTGGGATTTCTTCAGCATGTTATTAGCTCTCCTGACTCTTGTCATGCTCATATGATTTCAACTGATCATGTTAATGCATCTTAAGAAGTTACTCAACTGTCAGCTGGGTTGCAGTTCTAAAGTAAATCTGGATGTTTTAAACCACACATGGAGGAGAATTAAAAAACTAATAATGTATGCAATGAATAAGCAAGCATGAAATCAGTTTAAGCTAAACCATTTTATTTCACAGCTGGAATGTCAAAGAGCAATTGCAATCTTGTGAATATACTCCTAGAGTTTTATACCAAAGTAAGCAAGTGTGCTGCACAGATCCCTAATGCAAATTCAGTGGTGGTTCCCATCAACTACATTTTTCTGTAAGGAAAGGCACTAAATTTGACTGTTTATAAGGTTTTTGTCTTTGCATATGAAATGATGCAAAGTACCATAATACTGTTTTAGTGATACTGTGAGATCTTAAAAAACCATATCTGTCCTATTATACACAATTGAATATCTATTTTACACCTTGCCTCCTTTCCTGCAAAAAGTGTTGTTATTTTCCTCATTCTGAATTGTTCAGAGCCTGATTTGAATAACCTGATGCATTCTCTTTGAAGGCTGGGGCTAAAAATCCTACTGTTAAAGTGTTTATTGTAGACACTATTAATGCTGAAGCATATGGTCCTAAGAAGGTGCCAGTTCCTGCAGTCATAGCATCAAGGTAGTGTGCCCTCAAATATGTCTTTTCTTTAAAAAAATAAAACAAAATAAAAATTTCTATTTGTTTTAAATGTTTGAACTTCTGAGTTGTTTTCTGTTTCTAACAGTGGAGTGCCATATTCATCTCTTAGATGGATCAGAAGCTAACTAGAAATGTATTTTGATTCTCTGTCCAGATGACTCATTGTTGCAAAGGACAAAAAAAAAATAAAATGCCTAAGACACTGGAAGCTTTGCTGTTGAATCCACAGAACGCTAGGGGGGATACAATCTGTAGCAGTGCTTCTATATTTTTTTTCTTTAATAACCACTCTTTCTTTTTTTTATTATTTTTTAGTGATCACTATTTTACTTGGCTTACTTGGGTAACAGATAGTCGAGTCTGTGTGCAATGGCTAAAGAGAATCCAGAATTTTTCAGTCTTAGCTATTTGTGACTTCAAAGAGAATTCAAATACATGGGACTGTCCAGAGGTAATATAGTTGGAAATATAAGTTTAACATTGCTGAAATTAGCATTTGATTAGGTGGCCTAGCTGTCTATACCTGTATGTAGATCATTACAGATCTCACGTACAGAAGCCTTTCTGAAAAAGCATTTCTTTTAAAGACCTTTTAAAGCCTGAAGATTGTAGACACCGGTAAATCCGTATAGATCCTGAAGGAAAGAATAACTGAATTTCGGTAACTAATACAGAAGTCTCGTTTATAGTCTTTTAGTATTGATGGTGTTTGCGTGTCTTGGTTTTAGAGTTTATGGCACAGAATGCTTATAAAAACTAGCATTAGGGTGAAACCTGGAACTAATGAGAAATAAAAGGCAAGAATACTTATAAAAGTGTTCTGTATGACTGATAAATTGTAAATTCAGAGTTTGTTGACACAAACTTTCCAAGCTGAGAATAATTTTTATTCCTCTATGATATGGCAGTTGTTGCAAAATAAAATTAAAAAAAAAAAAAAACGAAAAACCCCAGGGACATTTTTCTAGGATTCTACCACAGTCCACCAAAGAACCTCAAAACAAGCTTAACTTTAAGCATGTAAGCAGTTTTATTTATTTCAGTAGGTCTATTTATGTGTTTAAAATTAAGCATGTGCTTAACTGCTTTTCTGGAACCAGACCAGAACAATTAACATCTTGCAGGACGGTGTTATTATCCTTGTTTAATTGCGTTTCTCCATGAAACCTTATTTATGGAGTCACTACTGACGTTTCTATAACTCTATATTTATACAGTGATACAATGCTTTTATCACATTAAAGTTTGCACAAATGGCCAATTGAAGGAGTGTGAACAGATGGGAGTGCTGCATTAGCTGTATTTGCCATTAGAAAGTATATCTCTGTATGTTTCCATTGGCAAAAACAGTTCTCTTGCTGATTTCAGATTAAATTGAGACTAATGTACAATAAATGTGCTAGGCTTTATGTGCTTGAAAATAATAACAAAATGTAATCTACAAGATGTTCCTAAAGTGTCGATTCATCAAAAATGTTCACGTTTGAGTCTTGCTCATGTGAGTCGAAACCATCGAAACCAATATGACTTCAGTGGAACTATTCATGTGAGTAAAAGCTAGGCATGTGTTTGTGAAATTGGGATTTCCTATGGAAATGCCAGTTCTCTCATTAAATTCTGTAAATACTTTAATAGACAGAAAAATCCCATAGAGGTCAATGGGACTACTCAAACAAGGGAAGTTAAATATATCCTTAATGGACTATGTCAAGATCGGAGCCTTAATTTAAAGAAAGGAAAATAAATTTAGGATGCAGATATAAAACAACACATCCTATTTTTCTTATCTTATAAAAGAAATAAAGTCCATCTTCTGAGTTAATAGCTCAGTGGAGACACTGTGAAGTACTAAACGGCCTTCTAAGGGACAAGTACCTGCAACTTTTTCTCAGATAAGTCACTTTGCAGGGTCTAAGTTTAAAGGGAGAAAGCATGATTCTGAATGTTAATGAGATTACTCTGAGAATAACAAACACAAACCATAGTCTTTAGAAAGCAAATTTGTTGAGTTTTTTTCAGACAGTGAAGAAATACTGTATTCAATGAACAGCCTAAAGAAAAGTTTGTAAGATAAAAAAAGAAATACATTGACTGAATGCAGAATTGTTAAATATTAAATCACTCCGTACAACAAACAAGGTATTATACTCTTCAATGGAAAAGTCTTAGGAAAGTATTGAAAATGCACTAGAAACTTTAGAAGTAAAGCATAAATAAAAATGTACCTTTAGCTTCAGGAGGTTCTGATCCATTTTTGCTTAGCAGAAATCTTTTTTTAAATCAGCTTTAAGAATGTTACAAGAACTTGAGACCTGCTAAATGTATTCATAGTCACGGGGTATGATAACCTGGTTGATTTTTGCTGCCTGACCCTCAATTCATTTTCTAAATATTTCTGAGATTTTTTTAAACTGTTGAAAATCAGCTCCTTTAATATCTCTAATCTGAGCAGCAGGTACAAAGACCCTTGATTTCTATTTACTTAAAGTATTTGGTTTGTGGTTTTAAGGTTTGTTTAAAAGACGTACGTAGTAGTCACGTTATCTGTGTTATAAATCAACATCACAGCTTTGAAATGAAAGGAAATATGTCAAATTAACTAGCTGAGACTCTAACACAGATTTTTAATATTATTATTCCTGAAATTATTTTACTCAGGCTTTTTTGCTGAAAAATTCATGAGATTAAGTAGTTGTTAATTCTTGCAACAGTGAAAATGCTGCATAAGGTTAAAAAAAAATTACTCCAGCTTTTATTTAGTTCTGATGGCAGCTGTTAAAAAAAGAAAATGTTAACATAATGGTATTAATACAATAATATTATTTACCTCAGGCAATCCTCAAGTCCCTGAACATTCATAGCAAGTGTCCTAAAATGCATTTTTACAGGTGGCTGTTGCTTTTTATTTTAAGATTTTGAATCTCCGTAAACTCATTCTAAATTTCTTAAAAGACTGTGTATTTGGTTTTGTTTTTCAGAATCAACAGCACATAGAAGAGAGTCAAACAGGATGGGCAGGCGGGGTATGTTTTCTTGTTGTATTCCATTTTGATTTAATGAAAAGCTACAGCTTTCTGCATATTCACAGCAGTGAGTTGAAACATGAAGCACCATTCTGAGTCACACAATACTACTGCTTAAACTTCTTGTACTGTAGGATTGAGACTTTATTACATTTATAAGTAGGGAGCCTGCATTTGTGAGGTGCTTGAGGTATCTATATTATCAGTTAAAGAAGTCTGACATGACAGGTTAGAAGTTGTAGTATGTACTGAGTCCAGGATTGACTATCACAGGTAAACACTTGTGCAAAGTACTTTGTCCCATCTGATTAGTCTTGTTACTTTTAGTATATGTACTATAATCTGCTGATCAGCTTGGACAGTCTTACATTTCTTCTACTGTTTTCCTTCTATTGTTTCAGTTCTTTGTTTCTGCACCATATTTTACATCAGACAGCAGTTCATATTACAAAATTTTTAGTGACAAAAATGGTTATAAGCATATTCATTACATCAATGGCTCTGTGGTAAGTCAAACAAATAGTTCTATATTGATCTACTGTAAGTTCCTGAAATAATTCTACAATATTCAGTAACTTGTATGTCTTGCTTCACAGGAGAATGCAATCCAAATTACAAGTGGAGAATGGGAAGCAATATACATTTTCAGAGTAACAAATGATGCAATGTAAGTAGCATGAAGAAGAGAATATGTTGTGAGTGTTGTCAGTAAAAGCAGCATTTAATCATTTGAACACCATTTGTTAACTCATAAAGTTATACCTAGGTATAATTTGTTTCTTATCTGAATGTATCCACAACAAATTTGTATGCAAAGGCACTGCACAGGTTTGCAAACTTTACTTATGCAATATTCTTTGTAAATTGTCTTCATTTTTCTATTTACAATCACCAATCTTAGAGATACTTTTTTAGAAATACTTAAATTTAATCATGTGGTGAACCCTTAGACACTGTGCGTTTACTTCTCTTTTTATGGTCTCTCAGCTTACTGTATAAGTAGATACAGCTTACATAATTACATAATTGGAAAGATTAGCTTGCGAGAATTAAAATAGAATACCTATATATATGGTTTATTTGTCATCTAATCAGAGTTTGAGCAAAGATTTATTAAGATGTAAGGTATATAAGCTTAACTTACTCTTCCACCATATGCGGAAATCTCAAAAAGTCTAAGTTAACTTCCAAAACTGCTTTCCATCTTGATGCTGGTTCATAGGTCATCATTTCATGGATTGTTTACTAACATATAAATGAATTTACAGTTTCTATTCAAGCAATGAATTTGAAGGCTATCCAGGAAGAAGGAATATTTACAAGTAAGTGTTATCAACGTTATCTTAATGATACAAAGTTCATAGAAGATAGCTCTGGATTTGTTAATAATTTAGTTTCAAAATGTTTGAATTATAATTTCATAGGCTACTTTAACAAAATCTTGACCTCGGGTTATATCTGAAAATTTAGGACAAATAGCATCTAAAGTTTAAATATACTGGGGGGGGGGAAAGGGGGGGGGGCAGAACGAAAGGATAAAAAAGGAAAACATTTATTTTTAAATTGAACTGTTCTGAAAATACAGTACCTTTGTTCTAGAATGCAAGGCAGACACATGTGACTTTAGTTGTGGCAAAATAAATATTGCTTTATTTTTCCTAGAATCAGTATTGGAAGTAGACCTATCAGAAAACAATGCATTACTTGCAATTTAAGGAAAGAGAGATGCCAGTATTATACAGCAAGGTTCAGTGAACATTCTAAGTATTACGCCTTGATCTGTTATGGTATGTATAGTATGGGGGCAAACATATAATCAGTTGTTCTTTCTATTTTGTCAGAGTTGCAGATAATACTGATTATCCCAAATTATATCCCAAATTTCACAATAACCAGGAGAGATTTACAGAAAAAAAGTTTTCCATGTCCAAAATCCTTGGGAAGATGTTTCAGAGCATTGAAATATTTTCACTTTTTTTTTTCTCTTTTTAAATAAAAATACTGGGATTTTTGGTATTAAAAACAGATTTTTGAAAGTCCGTGGCACAAAACAGGTTTTAATGTGGCTCATCAAAGTCATGTTTTTCTTGCAGCAACTAAAGCAGGATTTAGAAACACACACATTTCCAATTTATGTGATCAAAGTTAGCAATTAGAGACTATTACAATATGTTTCCCAACTGAAATTATTAAATTTGTGTCAGCCACAAAATTTTGGATATTGACCTGAGAACATTCTTTATAACTGAACTAAGAAAAATTCAGCTCATCAAGATGCATGATCATTGAAACTACTTGTAATGTAGGTATTAAATGAAGTCTTAACTCTTTTGAAATAAGTTAGGTGATTTCAGTGGTTCAACATTTTATCCATTACTGTAATCAAATAACAGTGATGTCTGAAGGAAAGAAAAATATCCATGGTTTTCCTTTTGCGTATTTCATCTAATGTTTAGTGTTCTTCTGATTTTTTATTGACTTATCATCTGAAGAGTTCCTGAGAACGTCCATTGAGCAGAGAAGCAAATGTAGCAAATAATAACACCTTTCAATCATTCTTGCACAAAGTAGTCAGTGAGGTCATCACCATGTGAAAGCCACTCACCTTCACAAATATGATGTGGCATGTTCTCAGAAGAATGTTTCACATTGTTAATTCTGCATGCACCTTATATAATCACATCTCAGGTATTAACTAGATATCAGTTCATCTGTAGAGAGGAAGAGTTTGTTAGTAAATTTAAAGTTGCTTTGATTATGTTTGATAAGCAGTGCCTGTATGTATACAGGTCTATGTCACACAGTACCTTATGCATTTAATGCAGCAGGGACTAGTGCGTTACACAGCAGAGAAGATTTAGGTTTGTGTATTAACTCTGAGCTCTTTAACACCTTTCAGTTACCAATCTTAACGTAATACAAACTCCATCATAAAATTCCAGCTTCAAACTATAAACTGCCTTCTTATCATTCTGTGACAGGTCCTGGGATTCCCATGTCTACTCTTTTTGAGAACTACAGTGATAGAGGTACTGCAAATATCCTGCTTATTTCTAAGCATTTTTTTTCCCATTGATCTTCACTATGCAGATCCTCTAATCAATATTGGGATTGTGATCAAGAAGCCTTTCATCTTGTTTGTTATCAAAATATCTAGTGTCATTTTAGATTTCTAATTTGTGAAAGCTAAATATCAGTGAACTCTCTTTCTTTCCTGAATCCAGCACTTTTATAGCATTCTGATATTTTTCCTGTTTCTATCCTGTGGATGCAACAAACATCAGCAGCTCTTTGTCTCCCAAATATTGAGTCAAACCCTGTAGAAAAGATTATTTTGATTTCCTAACTATTCCTTTTGACATTTGGATGAACACAAGACTTTTCTGAGGGTTTTTTTCATGAAGCAAACCTACCCTGTACAAAATGCAGCAGTGTACTATTTAGAGTTTGCAGTTTGAGCTGTTGTGCTGTACTAATTAGAATTTGGATCAGTGACTTGCTCTTCAGCCATCAGCAGAGACGTCAGGGAACAGCAAATGCTCTTTCAGATCATCAGTTTAAATAACTGCTTCAGACAGGGTGAATTATTGATAAAAGATGGGAACTCCACCAAGAAACATTGAGAACCCTCATTTTTTAAGTAGCCTTTTAGTGAGGACTGTTTGCAACCAGACCAAGCAGAAACTTGCTAACGATGAAAATATTAATTACTTTGCAGTGACTTTTCTCTCTCTGTCCTTTGTTTTTCCCTAAAAAAAAATTCTCCAACTTAAAGTACTCAGTCCTGAAGCGTTATGAAAACTAGCACGATCCTGTAAAACACCTCAGTGATTTGGCATTCCTCCTTTCTTGCCCAGTAGCCAGTAGAAATGCACTGACATTTCTACTGCCAGGGTCTTTACTGCCAGGTCAGCCAGTATTGATAACCCACTGTTAACTGCGTAAGTCAACATGAGGAAGACAAATGCTGCATTACTGTTAAGCTATGGTGATTCATGTTAAGTGGTGATTCATGTAGAAGTCAGTGAATTGCGATGTAATATTATTTTGACTACAATAGGAGTTGCTACATCTTAGTTTTTAACCAAAATGTTAAATGTTTGCAGATGGCAAAGATTGGTCAACATGTCTGTTGCAATTGTGCTATAAAAACACTATGTTGTTCTGGCATTTCTTTTGCAGAAGGTTTAAATAGGTTAATGGTTTAGATACAGCTAATGCATGGATTTTTTTTCAGATTTAATCCACTGCCATAGCTCACTGGTTTCTATGATTCATTATGACCTTGTGTATCAAGGGCCCCCACTACTTCCTTATCCTGAAGGGCAGCGAAGTGACCAGCTACAGATATCTCTGTTTCTTAACCTCTGTGCAAGAGAGAACAGTTTCATTAATGGATCTTCACCACTGGTTTCATGATGCCTCACTGGTGTGCTGTTATTCTTCAGGAATAAAAGCAAATTCAGGCTTCTCTGACTTTTTCATGACCTTTTCTGGTTTAATTTTCTTTAAGTCCCTTGCTTTCATAATCTCTTATATGATGACAAACTATTTTTAGTAGAACCATTCTCATTGCAGTTGGCAGCATTTTGAAAAGGTATGAATTTTACTAGGAGGCATGCAGTTAAACTAACATACACTTGTTTGGAAGCTGCTTCTGACATGCCTACAATTTGTGGCAGTGCACAAGTTTCAGGAGTTTTGAGGGGAAGTATTGAAAGGGTTCAGCTGAGTCTGGGTGAGTATCAAGTGCTAGGTTGATTTTTCAGCCATAAAACCCCACTTGAATCTGCAAAACCTGTCAAGATTGAAAGAACAAACTCCATTGTATTTTTGGCATCTCCTGGATACTATCTAGCTCAAGAAGTGCTGAGAGAAGTACTTTGAGGGTTTGGGGGTTTTTTGAGCTTTTCCAGAAGGAGGAAGTGGTTGCCATTGGAAAAAAAGAAAAAGAAAAACAAAATAAGAGGCAAACTAACCAAGAAGCATTTCCATCAGTTTTAAAAGGTTCTTTCATTTTTAAATTGAAGTTGAAAGTCACTGATTTCCATTATGTACAATATTATTCATCCATCACTACTTATGGGAAAGCACATAAACAAACAATACCCAGTAGACTCATAATACATAATTCTGCAGTCTATGCTGGAAATTATGTAAATTTTAAATAGTAATTTGTAAATCATATCACTGTAAAATGGATTTAAAGCAAGTAAAACAAAAATTTTAAATACTTTTTAGATTTTAAAATAAAAACAACAAACAAAATAATACCCAATAGAACAGCAACAGAAGAGGTTCACTAAGTGTGCAGTTGTACAGTAAGTTTTGTGTACTGTACAACGGTTAAGCAAGGGTTTGCCACAACCCCTTAAGAAACCGAATTTCCTGCATTAGCACAGAAACAAGATATTCCCAAACATCTGTGCACTTTACCATACTGCCCAAGGTCTCAGAGGTTAAACTGGTGTTACTGTGGTGAGCAAGGAGGGAGATAACAGAGCTGTGTTCTGCAAATGGGATAGGTTTTGCATTTACAGCTCCATATTACAAAACTGGGATGAAGGATCTGCTGGAGAAAGGAGTTTATTCATAACTTCCAGGACTCTAACATACAGAGGCACCATGTGCAATAATTTGCTTTGCAAAATATGCATCCTATTGAAATCTAATGAATATTTGTGCTTGATACATGTGCCTTGCTTTTATTTACCTGTGTGGTCAAGCCCAATTAGAAATGTCTGAGTTGATTTCATTACACTGCTTGTAAAACGCACATATTTCCTTTCTGTTCTAATAACACAAAATAAAGGAATCTCAAGTAATGAAGAGGAATTAATAAATTAGTTAATAATTCAGTCATCTCTTCTACTTAGAGCTCAGAGTATTGGAAGACAATTGGGAATTGCAGTCTGCTTTGCAAAATATCCAACTGCCAAAAGAAGAAATTAATAAACTTGAAGTGGATGGTATAAGTAAGAATTATATATCATTATTATACTTTCTATTCATACCATTTTAATTTTTTGCCTTCATTTTGTTATAGTGTCATTTTTCTGTAGAACATTCTTGTTAGCCTGTCAGATTGGGAAGAGGAGGGGTGGTTCTGCCCTGTTTGACAACACCCAATTTGTCTGTGCCTCAGGGCGTCTCTCAGTAAAGCAGTAGTTAAAATACATCTCTGCTTCACAATGCTTTTCTTATTAAAAAAAAAAAAATCTTTAATACTATTGGAAATATAGTGTAAAACCATTATAGGATGGTGATAATAAAATGTGAAATGTAAACTGCTGTTCATGTGTTATACATTATATTGACTTGCATACACTGTTGTTTCCATAGTGACTTTATAAACAATATTCCATGATAATGAGTCAGTATAAAGTTTCCAAAACTCATTTCTGATAATCTTCGTAACAGTAACATTCTTAGTTGTGTTTTTCTAGGCACCTGGAAAACTGTGAACCTAGAGTTATGTGAAATAATAATTTTATGCACAGCTAAATTAAAATAAAAGTTGGCACTTTATTTCTTCAAAATTGTTCTTCAACAACTCGATACAGTTATTTGCATCAATTCTGTGATTCACAGTTCACGTGTTTTGTAGTTAGTGCTGATTCATTTTCATATACTATTGCACCAAACTCTGGATTATGCTTGGATGAATCATTTTTAACCATTAACAATATAATTTTAATATGTCTTTTCTAGCTTTGTGGTACAAAATGCTTCTACCCCCCCAGTTTGATAGATCCAAGAAGTACCCTCTGCTTATTCAGGTGTATGTACCATTTCCTTTGATCATTGCTGTTTTGTTACAAAATATACTTCTTATAATTTAACAAAACCTAAGACTTTTGCCATATTTTACAAAACAGAAGAAAAACCACTAAGTTCTATTTTGTTTGTTATGATGGATTTTTTAATATAATTCTGGAACAGTAATTCAATTAATGGAAATCAATAACATTTTTAATGTTGATCTCAGCAGGGCAAGGATTAGTTCCTCAGAGTCAGGAAAAGGATAAAAACATGTGGGGTATTGCTTGGAGTTCTTGGTTCTGTTGCTGCTTCTGTTTACCATGAGGCAGGCTGACATTGATTTCAGCTTTGCTAATGCGGAAAATGCAAAAGCCTGCTTCATTTATTAAGAATAAAAAAAATATCAAACACCCCTAAATAGTGTAGACTGGCTTCTTTGATCAAATGTTCTTTCTAAAGACCATCAAATGTTCTTTCTAAAGAACATTTGACAATTTAATTTATTGCAGGCAGGAAAGGCAACGAAAATTGCAGTGGTCCTAAAAATTGAGAGCTGAGTGGGTGTAATAAACTTTTCATCATTTTGTATTAATCAGTGATGATCCAAAAGTCCAAGAATGCCAAGTATATTTGACTTAAGTTTAGAATAGACAGTTAAGTCAGTTGTGTCCTTGAGGTCAAGCATATAATTTGCAGTAGGCCATTCTCATGAGGAATGTCTCTCTATTGCTCAGCTATGTGGGGTGTGTTCCGACTGCAGCTCCAACAGCACATGATACTCTCTATTGAAACAAAGATGGGGATGTTCAGAAAGTGTAAGGAGCTGTACTTTTTCTCCTCTTTCCTCTGGCATTGCTGCGTGCATGAAATGCAGAAAAGCAATGAAAACTGGTATTACACCTAAGGAATTTGAAGAGAAGAAAAAGGCATGACTTTGAGGCATGACTATTCCCAGGATTACCCTTGTGACAAGCACCTGATGCTGCACCCCTTGGTCTGAGCTAAAACTAACAATTTGCCTTAGGCATAAGACCTAAAGGATTTTAATAGGTTTTAGATAGCAAAATCTCATACGAAAATGGTAGTTGAACTGCTTGTCTACTGAGCTTTCTGAGCCACAGCCATATAACAAAATACTTGTGGAGAAAATGTAAGAAGTACCTATAGTTACAGCCCAGTATCCAGTAATCATATATAAATTTAATAATACGAGTTGTGAATTTTCATCCTCAGGTATGGAGGACCCTGCAGTCAGAATGTAAAGGAAACATTTAGCATTAGCTGGATAACCTATCTTGCAAGCAAAGAGGGAATTATTGTTATTCTAGTGGATGGCAGAGGGACAGCTTATCAAGGTGACAAGATTTTGCATGCGGTATATCGAAGACTTGGAGTCTATGAAGTTGAGGACCAAATCTCAGCAGTGAAGTAAGTAGAATATCTCCCTGTATAACTGTTGCATTTGCATACCTACAAGGAGTAATGTGAAAAAAAAACAACTGAATATACTACTGAGCCTTTCTTCTGGAGAGCTGAGGTCTCCAGGAAATAAGACAAGAAAACTTATAGAAATAAAATACCATTAAGGTGCTTGATGTCAGTGAGATTTTGTTGGTATACTCAAGTCCATATACTACTAAGTCCACATTTAGACCTCACCACTTCCATTTTATAAAAGCATCATCAGAGGCTTAAATCCTAAGCCTACAGAACTACAAGCTTCAGTGGTGAGAAGTAAGCCAACATATTATCCCTGATTCATAAGTTCTCCCTGTAGGAGAAACCTACCTCAGTGACAACACTTATTAGCCAAAGATCCGTAGTGATGTACCACAGTGATTAGCTAAAGGTCAAATGTGAACTTTGTAGCAAAACTGAATCCTGATGCAAGCTTTCTGCATGTTGGTTGGTCATACAAACTTGGCTTCCATGCTATTTTAAGATAGTTATAAACAACAGAAAGTGTCTGAGATCCTCTGGTAGCTGGTCCCCAACAGTGCTCCTTTTCATTAAAGCACTTAAAGTTTTTCAAGAAAAAATAATGCCCTAAGCAGACGTTTTGGGAGGCAGTGAAAGCCGACATTTTGTAAAGAAAGGCTGCCTGAGAAGCTTGCAGATGCAGTAACACTGCTGAAGTGAGCATTTAAAGAAGTGTTTGAACTCCAGAGATGAACACAAAGCAGGAATAAGAAATTTAGTCTAGCCTATGTTCTGGAATTTGGCCAATCAGAGCATGGTTAGATTTCCAGATGCAACAGTAAATACACTCTTTCCTTCAATAATAGACCTGACTCTAAGTAGCTTAGCTAGAAATGGGATCTAACAGCACAGGTTCCCTCAGTTTTTTCTACTTGTTTGAGAACACAGCCTGTATTTACAAGTGTGTGTGAGAAAGGTGTCTATTCCTTCCTCTTTCTGCTTTGTGATAATTAATTTCCTCCTCAATTATATGAACACACCATTTTCCTTTTCTGTGATAAATGAAACATAATTCTTGTGTCATGTCAGGTTTTTCTATTTGTTTATTATTTGATTTTCTTTTTTTAAACTTTTAGCAGAAATGGCATATTTTAAAATATCACCAGAGAGATAATTTTTTTTATTACTCTGAATTGTCACTCAGACATAAAGTATCAGAGACAGAGGGAACCTAAGCTGATTCTGCATTTGTAAAATCTGCTGAGACAGACTGTAAAGAAATTACCTCAGAGTTCACACTTCCCAGTTTTCTGTCAGCACCTAGACTGAGTTTTTATTCAGTTAAATGTACTGCATTCCATCTTCCTGATGTAATACATGGTTTAAGATGTATGATTTTTAGAGAGCATACTATAGTCTAGTAAGTTCTTAGAGGAACTTTTGCTGTAGGAGGAACCCCAGGGATTAAGACAGCAATATAACAAACCTGAATCATTTTTTGGCTGTTTGAACTTTGTCCCACCCAGATAGTATCCCATATTTTGGGTGTTGTCAGTCGTTCATGCTTGTTATAGTAAAATAAGCCTAATATGTGTCCTGGCATGTACCCAAACCTATTTTGTTTATCTGTCACTCTCAAACCTTTGTGTTCTTTTCCTTATCCTCTTTTCTTTGCTGTTGCTAATACAGCTCTGGAAATACAGTCTTCAGACTCTGATGTGGGATTTTTGTAGGACACCTAGTATTTATGATTCTCTTTGCGCAATTTGACTATTTGACTACTGACTGGATAAGCAAGGTGCACCTTTCATCTGTTTAAAGCTTATTACCTACTTGGAGCATTAGAAGATGCCTTACTCATTATTATTTTATATTATAATAGCAGTATGTGCTCTTCACTTTTCAGGCACAGGATAACCTGAATATTAATGACAATCAGAACCTTTGGCATTAAAATAATGAAAATGATAATAGTCTGAGAGAATGTAGAGCTACAGGAAATTAAATGTGGTTATTAGTAGAAATACACGGTTTGAACTTTTTTTTTCTGCATCTGAGTGTATGCCTGTACACGTGTGTATACACATACATATGCACATGTACAACATGAGTAGAATGTGTGATGTTTAACATGAGCATAATGTATGGTGTTTAAACTACTCTGGGCTAAACATCCAGGTGGCTTCTAAGGATAAGAAAACAGAACTTTTTTGCCAAAAAGCCAGTTGGGCAGAGTCCTTATCCACTGGAACAAAAATTATTATGAAGAGACTATTAATTTCAGCACTGTTATTCTTTCAAGAAATATTCTTCCTTTGTCTCTGAAATATCTATTATTAGGGTGACTCATGCTTTGTAGAAATCAGACACATTATGCTAATTGTCAATTTGCTTAACTTAGTCTAATGTTTGGAAAAAAGTGAAAGAGAATATTTTTTTTACTATTTTGTAATAGCATTATCAATTTTTTGTAATAATGCATTTGTTTCTGTGATTTTCTTTTTCACAGGAAATTTATAGAAATGGGTTTTATTGATGAGAAACGAATAGCAATATGGGGCTGGGTAAGTGGTTGTGTTTTTTCTATCTTTTTTATTATTCCTTATTCTGCCCTAAATCAGCATAAAGTTTCTTCTGCCAGTCTTTGATGATATTGCCAAAGGGGATAATTCCTGTTGGCAACTATATCATGCAATTGAAACCATGCAAGCTCCCAAAAAGGGATCTTTGACAGCTCAAGAGGGCATACTGAAAAGTCTAGTTAAGGAAAATTGAGATGGTTTAATTATATTTACTTTTAACTTGGGGACTTGCTGGCATGGTGTCAAAATTCAGGTATGCTCTTTCTGCTCTGAGATTAAAATTACCAGAAAATGTGAATAAGACTGTATAGAAGTCATTCAAAATAATCAGCAGGTCTATTCTTCATCGCTGACTTTTTTCACTTTTCTTTGTAACACACCCAGAACCTTGTATAGCCAGATGCATTACAAATCTTTCTTGTTAAATGACCACATTCCTCTACCCTAAGGCACTGAGAAATAAGGTAGCATAGCTCAACTACATATTTTAGTATAGCACTGCATTCTGATGGAGAAAAATAAAGTATTGGAATAGTTGGGGTTTTTTCCTGTGTTATCAACTTCAAAGTAGGACTATTCATAGAAATGGGATGCAGACATACTAGTGGTGTTAGGGGAGAGCTGAAGTCAACTCAGTGGCAGCACAAATGCCACACAGCCCCTTTATAGAGATTTTTAAGATGTTTAGGCCATCTGACTCAGTTGCTTTTGTTCATCATGAATGGCTGGATCAAGAATGCATATGCAGAACTGGAGCCCTGCCTCCTACCCAGCTTCATCAGCTTCAGCATAACAGAATGATACTATGCAGGAGAACAAGACGATAAACAACATCTGAGGGTCTCATGTTTTAGGGACAGCACTGTAAGGAATGGTAAATGGTTTGGAGGCTAGACCTATGTTAGCTACACTTACTCCTCTGGGCAGATCAGTGTTAGCTATCCAGCAGTAACTCACAGCACTAATTAAAAAAGGTTACAGAACAAACTGATATGTTAGCCACTCATTAACATTTTCCAGGGTTTTTTTTGTCTTCATACATGTTCATTTTTCTCTGATTGTCAATCAGAAAGACCTTTAATTTTCTTTAACTGTTTATCTTTGCCAGGAGAGTTCTTCTGATCTGTCACTGTTTTGTTTATTTTTTGCTAGTTTTTGTTTGTTTGTTTTCATTGGCCCAGTTTCATTGTAAGAGGCTTTCCCAGAAACAGATTCATCTCAACTGTAATTATAGAAGTTCCCTGATCTTAGATAGCACATGAACAGGGTTGCTAAAATCTTTCTATGAAGCTTCTACCAACTAATATTTAAATTATTTTGGGTAGACACTGCTATAACACCAGAATAAAATGGGGTACCATATGGTGAAATTAAGTGACACAGACGCTTGCAAGGAGTTATTCTAAAGTGACATTAAGTAAGTTAAGGCCACATGAAAATATTTTATTTTTTTAATCATGTCATATTTTATTTCCAGAACCAATTAAGAGATTTCACACATGTAAAGCATTGTATCCCAGTAGTGCATATAATATTCAAACAGCACTATTGCCAAACATGTCATGTTCATTTTTTCTATTTATTGTACTGTTTCCTGGTCCATAACCTTCAAAAGGAGTTCAAAGGTGATTCCTTATTTATAGCTTGACAAGTATTTACGAACTATGCAGTTCATAGTACTTTCAGACTCACCAAATTCTTCTGGATGGCAAGATAACTTAATGACTAAATCAGTTCAGGTTTTGAACTCTTTGTTACGGTGCATAGATTTCTCTGCCTGATGCTAATCCTTTACTGTTTAGCCTTGTGGACTGATTTTTAAAATATCAAATCAGCTAATCAAATGAACTGGAAAAATTGTACATATTATTGCTTCCATTAGCATATGTCATTTCAAGCTGGAATGTCAAGAGGAAGGAGGGACTAACTTATTTTTCTACAAAAAAAATGCTTAATAGTCTTTCATGTGCTACTGAAGAAGCTGATAATCTTCAGAAGTCTTCATGACACACCCCATATTTTTATCCTTCCATCCATTCCAAAGTAAACAGTAACCCATTATTTTTCAAAGTCCTTATACACGCGGGTAACTATAGACCAGTCAGCCTCACCTCCATTCCTGGGAAAGTGATGGAACACCTTATCCTTGGTCTTAAGGCATATCAAGGATAAGAGGGTTACGAGGGGCAGTCAACATGGCTTCACCAAGGGGAAGTCATGCTTGACCAATCTCGTAGCCTTTTATGAGGAAATAACACGGTGGATGGATGATGGCAGAGCGGTGGATGTGGTCTACCTTGACTTCAGCAAAGCGTTTGACACGGTCTCCCACAGCATCCTCACAGCTAAATTGAGGAAGTGTGGTCTGGATGATTGGGTAGTGAGGTGGACTGTGAACTGGCTGAAGGAGAGAAGCCAGAGAGTTGTAGTCTATGGGGCGGAGTCTAGTTGGAGGCCTGTATCTAGTGGAGTGCCTCAAGGGTCGGTACTGGGACCAGTATTATTTAATATATTCATCAATGATTTAGATGAGGGAATTGAGTGTACTATCAGCAAGTTTGCTGATGACACTAAGCTGGGAGGAGTGGCTGACACGCCAGAAGGCTGTGCTGCCATCCAGCAAGACCTGGACAGGCTGGAGAGTTGGGCAGGGAATAACTTGATGAAATATAACAAGGGAAAGTGTAGAGTCCTGCATCTGGGCAGGAACAACCCCAGGTTCCAGTATAGGTTGGGGAACGCCCTGTTAGAGAGCAGTGTAGGGGAGAGGGACCTGGGGGTCCTAGTGGACAACAGGGTGACCGTGAGCCGACACTGTGCCCTTGTGGCCAAGAAGGCCAATGGCATCCTGGGGTGTATTAGAAGGGGGGTGGTTAGTAGGTCGAGAGAGGTCCTCCTTCCCCTCTACTCTGCCCTGGTGAGACCTCATCTGGAATATTGTGTCCAGTTCTGGGCCCCTCAGTTTAAGAAGGACAGGGACCTGCTGGAGAGAGTCCAGCGCAGGGCAACTAAGATGATTAAGGGAGTGGAGCATCTCCCTTATGAGGAAAGACTGAGGGAGCTGGGTCTCTATAGTTTGGAGAAGAGGAGATTGAGGGGTGACCTTATTAGCGTATATAAATATATAAAGGGGGAATGTCACGAGGATGGAGCCAGGCTCTTCTCAGTGGCAAACAATGATAGGACAAGGGGCAATGGGTACAAACTGGAACACAAGAGGTTCCACTTAAACTTGAGAAGAAACTTCTTGTCAGTGAGGGTGATGGAACACTGGAACAGGCTGCCCAGGGAGGTTGTGGAGTCTCCTTCTCTGGAGACATTCAAAACCCGCCTGGACACGTTCCTGTGTAACCTCATCTAGGTGTTCCTGCTCCAGCAGGGGGATTGGACTAGATGATCTTTTGAGGTCCCTTCCAATCTCTAACATACTGTGATACTGTGATATTGTGATACAAGTATTTCCCAACCCCAGTTCCATATCCTATGGTCAGCCAAACAAAATGATTTTTATTTACAGAATTTCCCTGTCTCAGCGACTAGCCCCACACAGGTGCACAAATTTCTTCTCATATCCAGGTGTACTTACTACTTTCCCTGACTTCCAGCTATGAACTTACTCTTCCTTGCTGGGTCCCAGTTTGAGGAATCAGGCTAGAAAATAACAGGATAAGTGGCAGACGGTAGGGAGGAATTGCTTCAATCTCAAGTTCCCAAGTAGCTAGCTGAGCCTATTAGTACTGATGATGGGGTTGGTTCAATATGCCTGTGATTAGCTAGGGAATTTGTTAAGGGAGGAAAGAACTTGTAAATCTTCATGGACACGCATACTGAAAAGATGGAAGACAATGACAACAAGTTGCCACAAGGCAAGTTTTCTTTCAGTTTTAGGGAAAAAAATTAAGATGAGAGTGATCAGTGTTGAAACAGATCTGGTAGAAAGACTGTGTAGTGTGGATGTGACTCTGATGAACCTCATTTAAATCTGGTTAGCCCTGCTTTGAGAGAGAGGTTGCAGTGATTACCTCAAAGGACCCTACCAACTTAAAATTTTTCTGTGATTCTAAGCAGTAATGAGGGGAGTATCCTGCATTAAGCACTGAAGAAGTAACAAAAGAGAAGGGTATCAAATTGTCTAATCTGTCTCACAGGAAATAATATCAGATCCATTTGAAATAAATAAATGAAAGAAATAAAAAGCTTTTGTTGCTTTGTCTTCCATGTGTTCAAAGCAAAATATTTACTTTGGAATTGATTTGTGTAAGTTCAATTCAGAAAAAAGAAAGCCCAGATCTTTACCAACTCTTCTAAACTGTCTGTGATTTCTCCCTAGTCCTATGGTGGGTACGTAACTTCTTTGGCACTTGGATCTGGCAGTGGAGTATTTAAATGCGGAATGGCTGTGGCTCCTGTTTCCAGCTGGGAATATTACGGTATGGAAACGTGTCATAAATACTGACTTGGAAAGCAAGATGTAGCATTTAATGACTTTCTAAATTAAATCATTGCAGGAGACTGGCAATATGAAACTTAAAGCACATTGCAATTACCTAGACATAAAACTCTTAGGACCTTAAGTTTAATGTTTTCCTTGCTGAAAATAACTGACTGCAACTGGCAGTTTGGAACAGACTTTGTCACATAGAAGGTATGCCCAGATAACTCCATATGCACATCTGAAACCCAAAGTGTGTAAAGCCCTCTTGATAAACTGCTATATTCAGGAGTGCTCTCCCTAAAAATCCTGTTAAAACAGTAGTACTGAATTCAGAAACATCTGAAATGATTTTTCTTCCAGTAATGAAATCACAGTGCACTTCAGCTTCATATACTGCAAATTATCTCTGTCAGGAATCAGTACCTCTGATGATTGAAAAGTTATTTCCCAAAAGCAGTGGAAAAGAAAGGGACTCAGTTGTATCTGATGTAATTTTTTTCTATTCAATATTTTCCCCTTAGATGTTTCTCAGCCACACTTCATGTGTTGTGTTATGAAACATATTTTTATTTATGTTTATTGACTTAGGCTCCAAACTGTTCAGAGGAAACAACTCTGGGAGTATACTCCCAGGGCCTTACTGTGTGAATAAAGAAGGCACACACTCATGCTTACTTACAGACCTGTTAAGCTTTTGGCATGGTGTAAAGGAACCTTAGTGTAAAAAAGAATCATGGCATGCATGTTTTCAATGAGCAAAATGTAGCACTTTGAACACATTTACTTAGCATATGGTCGTTTGCTAAGAAGTCTTGGTTATGAGAAAAAATTTTGGTTAAATGGGAAAGATTCCTTCCCTGACTGCTAGCGCAGACATTCCTTGTATTTATGGTGTTTTGCAAACAAAGGGGAAAACATTTGTATGACACAGGAAGCATAGTCTTCATGTTTTCACTGGCATCAAGATTTTTTTAAGACATTTTTGCTCATGATTGCAAAATTATTTCCAGAATGCAGGCATAAAGCACTATTTTTGCAGAAGTCCTTCAATAAAAGATTTGTAAACATTTGTCCAAGCATTAAAAATTGAATTTTTAGTTAAGGTAAAACTTAATTGTACACCTTGCAATATTTACTTTAGATAAATTTTCATGAAGGAGTTAAAGAATCTTGCTAAAAACACATTGTCAAATCCAAACAAGCAAATGTACCTCCACTAAGGAAGGAAGGAAACAGAAGGAAGTTGTGAGTCATAAGTTTTGGCAAACAAATCATGTTAACATTAGGGTGAATGGTGTTAGGGGCAAAACCACAGGATGCTACATATTTGAGTCTCTAAGTAGTCAGAGGATGTACTGGCCCCTACAGCTTCTAAATTCTGTCCCACCCTCTTTTAGATGCACAGATCAGAGTCTGGGCCATAAAACTTTTCTCTGAAACCCTTCTACTCATCTCCATTTTGTGTCAGAGTTAATAACAGCTGAACAGTTACAAAATGGCAAGGGAAATTATGCTGGGGGACAATGTATAGTTAAAAGCATTAGATCTGTGACTGTTTTATTAAAATTTGCAATTTATCTCCTTTTTCTTCCTCAGTAATTGACAAGCCAAATCTTCCACTTAGTCATTATAATGCAATTCTGCTGACCTCTGTGGACTTGTTGTAGCTATACTGGTAGAAGAGTGGAGAATTTGGCTCAGAATACTGTTGAAATGCCAGCCATTCAAAAAGAGTCTTTTTATTGAAGACTTAAGCCCAATATGGTTGTTTGACACTGTGTTGACAACAGATATTGCACATTTTCTGTTTTCATTGAATGATAAAGGATTTTCATAAAATATAGGCTACTTAGATCTTTTTGGTACTTAGTTTATTACAAATTATCTTCAGGAGCCTTAGTTCACTATCTGGGAGACACAGTATACATTGTTAGCACTCAGTAGTAACATATGTAAAGGGTACATAATAAACCATGGGAACATGAGTATATTGAGTCATTTTCCATTCCTGGGAGGATTCTCATTTCTACTTTTTAATAAAATTATTCTAATGCAGTGTACCAAACTGGACAATAAGGTAGACAATTACATTCCTTATGGATTTCAATGGCCATCACTTCTCTTATGGGAGGAAAATATTCCAGCTCTTCTTTGTCAGAAATCCCTGACTCTGTTAAATAAATAAAATGCTTGCAATACTGTAGCTTGACTGCTCAATATGTGTCAGTTGCTCTTTCAAGGCAAGGTCATAAGGAAACTAATGTTCTGGTAGTGACAGCTGCTGCATCAGTTTTCCACAAATTTCATAACGGCTCTTAGATAAATTACAAATACCCAGGCAGCTCAAAGATAGCTGTTCCTACTGATTTCTTGGTGATACTGCTCAGTTATTCACATTTGTTTTGTCAAATCTGTTAACAGTCTTTGTCATAGTTAGAAAAAGGAATTGAACAGAGACCTGAACAGCAATTGCACCACTATTTTAATGCAAGTCTGTATCATTTCCAGCTCCTCCTAATTCCTGCGTCCATTCAGTAGGAAATGGACAACATATATATCCATATTTACTGTAGTTACACATATACAACCCAGGCTGGAATTCAGCTCTGCTAAATTTTTTTCAAAGTGGCAAAAATAGGCTGTATCATCTTTTCACCATGCTCCTTTATTGGCTTCTTGGCTCATTTAACTGACCTGGAGTTCAACCCAATAGCATAAAGCAATATCAGATAATTACCTTTACCCACAAAACATTGTGTTGGTTCCACAGATGAGTATCAAACCACTATTTCTGCAAGGACATTTTGGAGGACATTTATTAATTAACCTTCATAGTTTATTTTTTAAAATATGTTTACATTTGGTGTATTATGAGGAAACCAAGCAGAACAGATACAGTTAAAATAAACAATATTTCATTTGCTACATGTCACTGAAGGCACAAAAATATCTGTACATTCTCTGCCTATAGCTCTTTTCTCCTTTACTATCACAGCATCTATCTACACAGAACGATTTATGGGTCTGCCTGTAGAGTCCGATAATCTTGAGCACTACAAGGTGAGAATTTTCTCTCTGTGTTGATCTGCCTTAAACTTAAATCACACTTCCATGGACAAGTAGAACTGTGAAGAAAGAAAATGACCTGCCAGGTCTCATAGTGGCAGTACTGTAGGAGCTAAGCTACAGGAAATTCATATCTCCATAGCTACTCGCAGTTTTGTATTTATAAATCCTAAATATGCTAAATTGAAGGATCCTTATTTTCGCACTTGGACAAGTCAGACAGTTCTGCCAATGCAAACCGTTAGCCTAGGGAAGAATTTGTGAGAGAGGTTAAAATGTTGATAAGGCTTTGGTTGGTACTGTTAGCCGTGGTATGCAAACTGCTTCATGTAAATGTAACTCTGTGACAATAATATCATAAGCATACTAAATGGTAAGAACAGCTTCCCCTATGTGGCACAGGTTGTCTTTCTTCTTTTCTTCACATTGATAGGCAGCCTATAGCTTCCTCCAGCAGTGCACATACCAGCTCTGCATACAGAGAGGACTGAATTAATGCCCAAAGAAGCTAATGGACAGATACCTATTAAAGATTTTTGATCCTGTTCTCAGTTCCTATTCTTCATCCCAACTCAAAGAACAGAAATGCTCAATACCAAACTGCCCTGGTAGGTCTGCCTACGAATTATAACATTCAGGGAATGACACAATCGCTAATGCTGTGCTTTTCATGAACTGGCTCATAGAAAAGGCACTAAATACATATGGTTTCTATTATAATGTCAGATCGATATGAAGTCACTGCTGTCATTATCATGCCAGTTCAACTGTTTGACTGTTGTTCTACTAGGTAACTAAAGCCTTTCAGCTCTGTGGTTGAGTGGTTTAAATTGAAGCTGCTGAGCTGTTCGTTTTTCCTCTCAACAGAATTCAACTGTGATGGCAAGAGCAAAGAATTTCCAAAATGTAGAATATCTTCTCATCCATGGAACAGCAGATGGTGAGGTTTGCAAATGGCAGTACAAATACAGAGCCAGAATCACTTTGAAAAACATGAAGCATCTTTTTATGCCTTTGATTAGGGTCTTTGATAATCTATCTTTGATAGATTTCCATATGACATAAGATGCTTACTCATTTTTAGTAATGTCAACTGTATCACTTGATAATTAGTGGACACAACTTAATGCACTATAACTTTATGCTTTGCTGTATTTACACGTTTCAACAGCCAATTTCTTTACCTTTTTCAGATAACGTACATTTCCAGAACTCAGCACAAATCGCAAAAGCTCTGGTTAATGCACAGGTGGATTTCCAGGCAATGGTAAATAACAGACTTTTTCATTTTGAACAGTGTTTTGTAGCTTTATCAATAAACTTATCTGATATTTGGCAATGTTCTTAAGAACCCAGTTCTACTGAACACGCATCAAAACCTGTCAATTGCTAGTGCTTCTGTTACTCTTAAACAATTTCTTGCTTGAAGGATTTGCCTGCTTTCTCCCCCTACCCCTCACCCCACCCCACCCCACCCCCATGCTTTGCTTCTTGCCATTTGGATGCTATCAGGATTTCTCTGTTGTCAAGAATAATGTTGAGGCTTTTAAAATGAGCCAGGGAGAAGAATGAGAATCCAGCCTCCTTATGAAAGTTGTGATAGCTAGTAAAAGAGAGAAAGGTGAAGGAGCTGGCTTCTGGGGGCAAAACCATAACTGGTCTGATGGATTCTATCTTTTACTGGACATACCTACCACAGGCACAAGGTGAAACGCACAAAAAGGGTAGAATCCAAGTAGTATATCCAGCATCAGAAAATACACAAGTTGTCCACAAAACTTGCTTGCAGTGCAGGCAGAGGAAAACACATAAACAAGAGGTTAGAGGATATAAATGAGGAATGAACAACAAAAAAGTACTTTGAATTACACTCAAAGCTCTGTTTCTGCACCTTTTTTCTTGGAGCTAATGACCAAAGTGTTTGCCTGCTATCAAATGTACTAGCCTTCTGCCTGAATCTACTTTCCCAGGACCATGAACCTCCCAAAAAGGGATCACACAGGAATCTCTCTGTACTTGGGGTTTGTAGGCCATTTTGTGTATTCCACATTCTCTGCCTCCTTCACTGATATTTAGCAAACCATTGTTATTTCTCAAGTATCTGGAATAGTGTATAGAGTTATAGTCATTCCAGTTAAGCTATAGGGGAATGGCAGTTATTTCTAAGAGTCAGCAGAATTCATATGGATTTTATTTGCAGTACACGATTCATAATGTTCATGGCCCTGATGTAATGCAGGATGTTTTGAACAGAATCCCACAGCATCTAGCTGAAAGCTTGTTGCTTAGAGCCCAGTATTCCAGAGCAAGACTGTGACCCTAACGGCCAAGGCCATGCAGCAGGTCAAAGCCATTTCATCCCTAAGGGAATCTCAAAGCCCTTTTGCCTAACTTGATACAACTGACTTGTCAGTACTGAGGCAGTAATGATTACTCCTAGGTTACAGAAGGTTTAGAAACTTTTTTTTTCAGCAATATGAACATACTGGAAAGTGCTGAAAAGAAAGAAGAGTAGCAAGTCCCTCAGTTTTCTTGAGGCATCCACTTACTTTTATATGAAAATAAAGTTCTTGTATTTATTAACTATTGCAGAATTGAAAACATAACATAGGGGGTTTATGTTGTTTTGGTTTTTTTTTTTTTTCTTTTTCAGTGGTATACTGACCAGGACCATGGAATTCCAGGCCTTTCCAGCAAACATCTCTACACACATATGACCCGCTTCCTCAAACGATGTTTTTCTTTGTCAGAATGAGTAGATTATTCAGAACATGCCAAGGTATCTAATGCATCTCTGGGAGAATGCAATGATAACAGTGCCGAGGTTATATAGTTTTCAGGTGAATTGATGACAGGAACTTTAAATTGATGTTTACATCCATTTTTTAAACTGTATATTAGTACATGTTATGCTAATACATGTTTTGGCACATTTAACACCTGTTTGATAGAAAAAATAAAATTAGACTGTAAACCGTCATGTGCATTTCTTGCCATCTTGCTTAAACTTACGTTCTGTAATCCAGATAGGTGGTCCATTGCAAAGGCACACTGCCAGATGAAAATGCTTGCATTTGTTAACTACAACTGTAAAATGGGAAAGGACAAAGGAATCAGTGCAAGTACCTAATTAGCATCCTAACAAGAACTGGTTTCACAAAGTTTATTTCCAATTTCTTGGAAAGAATCCAAGCAGGGATAGGAACACACAATATTTAAAGATAAAGTTTGGATAATTATTGAGACTACTGAATGCTGTGTTCAAATTTTATCCAACTCTTATTTGAAATCTTGCTTCTGCAAAACTCTCAGTGTTCAGATTTAAACATGAAAGGAGGACATTCATGATAGCTATTTCATCTCAGTATTTTTCTCCCTGTGTTCAGAATATGTGAACAATATTAGCCTGTTTTTAATCATCACCTTGGCATTCAAATTAATCTCAGTGTCATTCATCCCAGACTGGAGGGGAAGGATCAAAGGATTACGCAGGATTTCTTTGCTTTGTTTTCCAGTGAAACTATTTCAGGGAGTCTTTTAAAAATGCTAGAGGCTAATAGTGATCGGAATACTTGTATTCTTTTGATTAGTAATCAACTCAGTCATATAAGAACCATGGTCTGTTTAAGACAGTAACTCATCTCTGCTATTAGCTGGTGAGAGTACAGAATAACCTGAAAAAGATTGTGGAGCAGACTTCTCACAAAGCAAGCTGCTTCCTAACTGTCAGTCAGAGATTGGGTGCTGCTTCTTTGTGGAAAAACAAGGGGTTTCATTTGACCCTCTTGACAAAAACATGGGGTTTAGCCAAAATCATTAAAATGTGGAAGTGATTTGCTATGTAACAGCTTCCTTCATTTTGTTAATGGAAATATCAAATCTAATTTTCCACACATGAGAACATTCCTCAGACACATCTTTATGTAAATGTAGTTGCCAAGCTGTTTGTAATGGTTAAATTATACTTTGATGGGAAGTCTTCAGAAAATACTCAATTAGTTCAGGTTTTTTTGGAAATGCTGCCAATTACGTGATGTTAATGAGGTTTTTGTTGGTAATGTAATTAAAATTCAACTGCTATAACAGTTAAAGGAAAAAATTATAGCTCTAACAAACTTAACATTAAGCAAATATAACATGAAGTGGGGCTAATTAGATGTTGATTATATGGTCCTATGTGCATTTGCTGCACACAACAGTAGTCTCAGTAATGTGGTTATTTTACAAATAAGGAATAGAATTCAGTTAAAATTACTGAGATTTAACTCTCAATTTCTTAAAATGACACAGAAACCATTGTAAAAATGCAATAAAAGAGAGAAAAATCAAGCTCTTATCACAGATGCCTGAGGTTTTAGATACCTGAATATGTCTAAAATGGGAGTCTTGAGCAATTTTCAAAAACATATGATATCAGCCTCCCATAAATTTCAGTATATTAATTTCTCTTTAAATTTCTGCAGCTTTATTTCTATTTATACTTTTGAAAATCCTATAAATTCTGGAAATTTGGCTAGAAAAATTGGCCCTTTGTGTATACTATAACTAATAAAATTATGCAATGTTTTTTTCACACCCTGCCCACAGGTCTGTAGTCAGAAGCTTCTGGAAGTATTTGGAATGAGGCACATTTCAGGAAAATGTGTCAAATAAAATAACAGAAGGTACCTCTTTCCCAAGGGATGCATTAGCTATTTTCATTATTATTCTGCCCTTATGTCTGTTTGTTTCCTAAGGCAATCAGAGTACACATCTTCCAAACTGTGCAGCATTTACCTTGGCTGTGAGGAAGCAGTTGTGGGGATAAAGCATGAAGAAAATAACTGCATCATGCTGCTGTCAGGTTTTCTTCATTTTTTTTTATGTTTTTAATTTATTTGCCTTACACAGTGCTTTTGCCAAAGAATGGGAATACTTCTTCAGCAGAGTGTGACATTTACACTGACTTGCTGGAGCAGTGTCTAACCTGAAAGCTTTATGATTGAGCAATCATGTATTTTGATGACCTGCAGGAAAATGTCCTAAGGTACAGTGAGTGTCAAAAAAGAACAACCCTGTAACAGGTAATGTCGCAGTCATTCATTAGGAATGGGGCAGAGCACTTCAAACCTACCACTGCAGTATTGTAGAGTCACAGAATGGTTAGGGCTGGAAGGGAACTTTGGAGGTCATTCCATCTCCCTGCTCAAGCAGGGCCACCTACGGCGAGTAGCCAGGGACTATGTCCAGATAGTTTTTGGATATCTAAAAGGCTGGAGACTCCACAAACTCTCTGGGCCACCCCTGCCAGTGCTTGGTCACCCTCGCAGTAAAAAAGTGCTTTGTCATGTTAGGACAGAACCTTCTGTTTCAGTTTGTGTCTGTTGCCTCTTGTTCTGTTTCCGGCACCACTGAAAAGAGTCTGGCTCCATCTTCTTTACACTGTCCCTTCAGATATTTACATTCAGTGATAAGATCCTCTCGAGCCTTTTCTTATCTAGAAAGAAAAACTTTCTGTTCTGCATTGCTGTCTACAATCACCACCCATGTTATAAGCATCACCATAAACTTTCACTGGACAGTTATTTGCCCCCATTCCTTTTTAACCTAGCCTACTACATGGGCTCTTCTGTAACAGAGCTTAAACACAGTTCATGGTGAAAGGGCTTGTCTTAAGAAAACAAGTTGAAGCTGACAAAAATACGTTTAAGGTTTAGCCTTACAGGTGAATAAATTGTATATATATCTATACTGCAGATATAGAATATGGCATGTAAGAGTCAACACTGGGACGCAACTTATTATGAAACTAAGAAATTATAGCCTTCATGACAAGATTTTCTAAGCTGATGAACGAATATCCTCAAATTCCTACTGTCAAATATTTTAGAGGATCTGATTTTCAGAAAATGCTGAGTACTTTCTGCTCCTATTTTCTCTTCAAAATGAGACTCTCACACTTCAGGTACCCCAAAGACAATGAAACTTAGTCTTCAAATATCTGTTGCATAAATAAGGTATACAAGGTTCTTAAAACAGGACATTGTTGTTCTGAATTTAGTAGACAGGCCCTAGATAAATAGCCACAGATCGAGTTCTTTACAAAACTCTTTCCACTATGAAACCTATTTAGCTTTTATAAAATAAAGCTAGAGCTGCAAGACAAAAACTGCTTTATTCCAGGAACAGAAGTGTACATAAATAGTAGAAAACCAGTGGTTCAACTCCAAACCATTCATTCCCAAACACCTATTTTCATCATCTACCTCAGTCATGCTATGCAAGTTGTGCATATCGGTGAACATGCAATCCTCATGCCTCAAATGTGGAGCTACATGTTTTGCTTCACTCAGAATTACTGCAGCTGCCAAGAAGAAAAGGCCTGAAAATGACATTAGCAGAAAACCAAGTATAAGCCCAGCCAGGCCCAAGAATATATGTTTAGTGTTATACTCATTTTACTCAGATATCAAGTCAAATTCAGACTACGTTCAATACTTTGCAGTTTGCCATTCAGTTCCAATTACAAGGCACAGCTGTTTAGAACATTTTATAGAGTCATTTGAAGTCTCTATATTTAATCTGAATAATTCATACTATTTGCTAGAGCATTTGGTATTACTTTCAATTATGAACATTGTTTCCTCAGAATGTAAGTAACTAGTACAGACTTGGCCAGCTCTTCTGCTTGCGCAAATTGATGCAGCTCCATTGACTTCAAATGGAGCAATTCCAATTTAGTGAGGAGACAGTGTGGGCTACAGCATAGTTACAATAGCTGTCTTTCCTGAGGTACAAACCCATCTGAATCCACGGCAGTAAGCATGAAGCTGCATGCTGTCATAAGGCTTAGAGACTGGACCTAATCCTCCATTTCAGGAAGCCATTCTTGCTCTCCAAAGTGTAGCCATGGAGTTGTATACATACATATGCACACATTTGTGTATCTAACATGATGCATGTTTTATATATGTATGTGCTTACACATATGTTCTTCTTATATATGTTCTCAGAAGGAGAATGCAGGACTCTCCTGATTATCACGTAACAAGGATAGGAAAATAAAATGGGCTGAACAGTCCCTGAACTTACAGTTGACAAGGTAAGGGAGAGAATGCTTTCTGTGCAGTGTAACAAAGAGAAGGGTGTGTACCTGTAGTCATACCCCAAGGTACATCCTTCTCCTTCACATGTTCTTTAGATATGCAATCTATAATAACATAATACTATAATAATAATAAATACGAAATGAAGAAATACACAGAAAAATGTGGAGGGTTCTTTTTTTGAACGCATTTGTTGGGAATTTTTTTACCTTTTTACTTTCAAAAGTCAGCAACTTCCTAATTCACTAAACTGTTCAAATCTTGACAATTTAAACTTTTAAAATTATTTTTTTCTTGTACCAACAGTAAAAGAGTTGAGAGAAACATCCCAGAAAATTATGATATTCAGAGCAGCTAGCCAGTTATTGCTAACACATTGGTCCTATTTTTCTGAAAAGCCATGCCAACTGGAACTGTTACCGCTAGAGCATCAGGTTCAGTGTGCAACTGGTAAGAATTCTGCCCCTCATTGTACCACTTCTGTAACTTTTCCCACAGATTTTTTGTCCAGTGAGTGCAGTACACTGTCCTTAATAGCAGCCATTACCTGGTACTGAGACCATGGTGCAGGAAACTTTGATTAACTCCAAATACAGTGAACTCAAGATAAAGATCTTTTAGTGACTCCAAGTGAATCATGAAAAAGATTATGATACTTTCCTGAAGGCAGGTCATCTTTCAGGTTCTGTCTCTAATCTGACTCAGTTTAAGTACTGTCTCATGTGTGAATTATAATACAGAGGAGAGTGAGGTTGTCTTTAAATTTTGTCAAAAGGTGCCGTCTACCTACTTTATTTTACAATCTGAGAGAAAAAAAATAGTACGTATTCATATTTCATACACTAGTTACTATTTGCTACTTCTGTTTGGTAGCTTTTGCTTGCTGTGCTCTTGAAGTATTGCTATGTATTCAGCTATGACAACTGAGGGTTGCATTGTTCTTGATGGCAGTTCATTTTTTTCATGTACTTTTTATTCTCCATGTATCACTTGCTAAACAATCAGTCTCCTAGATTCTAGATGACCTGCTAGATGATACAGCTTGTTTAACAGGTGCACTGAGCCGCTATGTTTCATATACATTTTTTCTGAAATCAAGAAGATAAAACAGAGATAAACAAAAAGAACTGCCTTTTCCTGGAGGGGATGATACTGTCTTACAGCCTGTGTTGCCTGTTTCAAAACTCAACAAGCAGAGAGATAATTGTAGCAATCCATTCCAACAAGCGTCTATGAGTCATCCTGGTCTAAAACAAGGTCTACACGGCCCTTTGATCACCATCTGCTGTCCCGTCGGGGTACTGCAGGGCTGGGCAGCCTGCCTTTTCCCGCAGAGCTGCAAAGCTCACCAACTTCACGGAGACGGTGCCTTCAAATACTTGGTGCTGCGCTTATATTTAAACCGTGATTTTGCATCCCCTATATAACGCTCATAAAATTTAAATAGAAAGTAGATTATAAAAGTAATTCTAAGGAAAAAACTACAAAGTATCTCAGTGAAATAGGCATGTCATGAAAATAAGTAGGTTTTGAGTATAAGGTTGTTTCCAGGCTTACTTTGCCTCTTTGGCACCATCTCTTACGAGTTACACAGTTGTCTGCCTAGGGAAGGTTGGTATATGGAGATGGTAATTCTGGTCGTTTCAGAGAAAAAAATCTGAAAAGCCAAGTTTGATAAATACTTGTAGAAGTTTGTTCAGCCTATGCCAATCAATGACTGGGAATATATTACTTTGAACAGATGTGAAAAATACAATTAAGACCAGGAAGAAAGAGGACATAGGGATCAGACCATGTGGAAAAGAAGCAGTAAATAAAAAGAAAAGTAATAAAAAGGCAAAAGAAAGCTCTCAGAAGTGACTGAAAGTACAAACAGAAGGCAATGTTGAGAGGAACAGAAGCTGTGCTCTTAAGTTTTCAGCAGCAGCATTAGTAGACACTTACATTATAGATAGAAATGACAAAAATGCACCAGGAATCTCAGTAGATGGATCCAAGAGCAGAAAAAAATTATTACACTAACACAAGAAATAATATATTAAAAAGTTATTTTTTGGACTGTGTAGTGAGACAGTGTTTCCCTAAACAAATATTGTATTACTACAGTGAGGAATTTAGGATAGAGCTATAGGAAGGATCCGCTAAATTTTGTTTGCCACTCTACTACTAGGATTATTACATGTACAAACTGCCTCAATTGCATCATATGGGCTATGGCAATCAGGCTGTGGCAAGCCAGCAGAAAGTTCCCTCACTGAAGAAGATTCTTTGCTGGCTTCATGGAGCACTGTTAGGGGAAATAAAAGGATTTGTTGTAATGTGCACGCTTTTTGCCACAACTTAGACTATAGGCCACACCAGACTGGAGCACAGGCTGTCATTAACATTCAGGGAGATGTTCACTGTGATTCCAGACCCTTTACTGAATAGGACTGAAGATGGAGTCCTTCATATTTTATCTGTCTCCTGGACTGCCTAGTACCTTACATATGTAAAAATAATATTTGGGGGGGTCTGCCCTTTTGCATTTTAAATGTATGAAAAAGTTTGTAAAGCAAAACCTCTCCAGGAAATTCCTGAAGGGGGGGGTATCTCGCTTGTTGCTTCATAGACAGGATAAAAGACCTGTATTTCTGACTGGCAGATTTTTTCATCTGCCGGGATCATTGATAAGCTTTGTGTTAATCTGTCCTCCCTGTGGTCACCACATGACTGAACAGTGCTGCCCTATCACAACTATGAAATTGCTCCGATGACTGGTTTAGGACCCTGACAATAGTTGCATAGAACAAACACAGCCACAAAGCTCAAATCTGTTTTGGTTTTTAGATATTTTTGTCCTTGTAGAGAATGAAGACTAGAGCAAAAGTCTTGTCTAAATCAGTAGTATGAAACTCAATTTATAATGAATGTTTGGCATATAATTCTCAAGTGGACATGATTTTTATACAGTAGAATTTGCAAAGTTGGAATTTTACATCTAAGGGTAATCGTATATTTGTGTTAGATTTGACCTGTGCCAGGCTTTGCATAGTGGGTAGCCATCACTGCGGTACTTCACATCTCTTCATGTTCGTTATATTTGTATGAGATTACTTGAAGAATCATTCAAGGGCTTTGGGGGAGTTATGTTGGTTATTGTTAACTGTGCGTTAAATTTATAAACCTTGATTTAAAATTGATTTAAAAGTTGATGCTATTGATACCAACAGGACTGGGATTCTAAATGTTAAATGTGTCAAATCAGAATTTGGAGAAATTGCTGCCTTAATTCCAGGCACCTTAAGCCTACTGTTTGTCATCCTAATGCCCTTCTGTTTGATATTTATTTCTTTGGACATAGCTACCTCACTTCTTTTGCAAATCCATGTTAGCATTGATGTCATAAAGTAAGCAGAATGAATGTGTGAAATTGCTTGTAAAATTATCAAACGAAATGAATAGCAAATATGATGACTTTTTTTTTTTTAAGTTGAATAAGGAAACTGTCAGCAATGATGCACTCTCATAATGCTTACTAGGGCTGAACAGTATATATATAAGTCTGTGAAAAAGAGGCAGATAGGCAGATCTCAGGATCCTCAAGGCTTGCCATAGTTCCGGAAGAGAGAGTAGCAGCTCTTTCTGCAACTGCTACGTATCACTTCAAAATACAAAAAGGTAAGATTGATATGAACTACCAGTACAATCTGTTTGAGCAGGCTAAGTGCATTATCTGAATTGTATTGCCCAAAGTTTGCAACAGAGGTGCAGGATCTTTCAGCAAACTGGTGTTTTCTTCTGTGGTTGTCCTCACTGATATTTGGATTTAATGACATCATCATTTTAATATTTTAATGTATTGAATTAGTTCAACAGAGACTGACCCAAAAAAGAGAAATCTCCTGTTTGGGTTGCTGAAGCAATTGAAGAAAGGAAGATTAACCATAAGAACATGAAAGACATGCATTGTAGTAAGATTTTAAATTGTGAGATATATAAATTATTGAGTTTTGTATTTTTATCTCCTTTAGCATCTTCTCTAGAAATGTTTAATGAACATGAGTTTAAAAATATTCACTCCTTCTATATACTGCTTAAATATGAATCAACAGGGATTAAATTGGCAGAATGCAAACAAAGTGGGTTTGTATAGTCACTGATTTAAAACTGTCCAAGATATTGTCACTCCATCACCCTACAGAATGCCACGCCACTGCCCTACTTTTAGATTAGTTTGTCTCAAAGCAACTATTATTTTCTTATCACTAAAATCTGAAAGAAAATTTTATAACACAAAATAAAAATTAAAGCCGTTCAGTAGTTGCTGTGATTACAAAGTTTAATTAAGTCCTCCATCTTACTATGGAACTCCTTAGACTAGAACCATTATATTTTATAGAAGCTTCCATGAGGCATTATAGCATGCTTAGGTAAATTGGATGTAAAATACATCTACCTGAAAAAGTGATTTCTTTACAATTAGAAATAACTGCGATTTGCAAACAGTTTAATGTTGATAGGAATTTATTTTATTAGCAGTATCTACTGGTGACCTGAATAATGTAGTGCAAATAAAATCTTTCTTCTGATCAGGAAGTGACTGATTAACTAAAATAAAGTAAACACATATTATTTTGCTGATCATCTTTTTCTCTACAAAATATGTTTGTGTTCCTCAGAATAACAATTTCTTCTTTAAATACTGTAGCTTCTTTAACTTGTCAAAAAATGCTGATACTGGTTTGGATTACCAATAGCAAGTACTAAACACTGAAGAAAATAAACTGATTCTTAATTTTTAAAAGAACATATTTGACAGAAGTTTAATACTTTTTGAAAATGCTTATTTTATTAATAAGGATTCTCTTTCTTGAAATTGTATTGCTTTCAAAAAAATGTATTTATACGTCTTTCTTTTTAGTAATCTCCCCAGATTTTGGTTTTGAAAAATTTACAAAGAAGCTGAACATGCACTTAATTTTAAACATATTTTTAAATCATAAAGTAGCCAGTGGGATTGTTCACACCTGAAAGATGTATGGGCCTGAGGCATAAGAGTTAGATCCATGATATATTGAAATCACTAAAGATCTGTTTACCGATTACAATGGGCTTTGAATTTGGTTTATTATAAATTTCTCACAAAATAATAGCTTTGGTATCTGATATTACTATAAGGAGGCTGGATTAATGACTAGACTTTTTCTTTCATTCCCCCTCAGTGACTTAGGTTTATGTCTAATCTGCATCATGGTTTAACAAAGCTATACGCAGCTGTAAACTGTTTTTATTTAGTGTTTTAGGTTAAGTAAATTATAACAAATTACTAACATACTGTTAATCAGGGCAAATTCACTTATTTATGGTGCAATAACCAAACCTTATTCACTGTCTGAATTAATTCATTGGTAGCCATATCAGCTAGCATGGGGGTCACTACCTTACAATCAGACCATTTCTATAATCACAGCAGTGTCATCACCCAAAGAACAGAGAGAGCTTTTGTTCCATTGTTGGAAGCCTATGAAACGTGAAATTATGCATTCTTTGGGATAGACATTGGATGTCAGTGTTGCACCACCAAATTACAGCTCCAAGCGAGACAGTGTTCGATACTACAGTTAGGGATATAATAGGACTAACTATATGGCCACTACAGTATTTTTTGGTACTACAGCAAGATATGTGCAAGTGTAGGAATAAAATTTCATATATCAAGACATTACAGAAGGCAGAAAAGAGTCTCCATACATACTGATGAAAAAATGAGCAACATTGGCAGTGGCTGCTGGTGGAGAGAGGGAAATTGATTCCATTGCTTAATAGTACAATAAACAACAACAAAAAAATATTCATTGATTTATTTTCCTTGTTTTAAGATTTGATTAATATTTTGATTGTATAAGTATTTTGATACTGCCACTGAGTTATTCTAGTAAAACATATATATTGTCATTAAGATTCCTTTAAAAGTTAGGCCTACCAGAGTACCAGAAGCAATGCACTCTTCCTAACCGTAGGTAAAATATCTGCCAACAGTCAAGTTTCACAGCTCCAAATATAAGTTATTTTAAAATAGACAGAAGAAACAGATTTCTTGAAAACCTGCTCTGAAGCTGGGCAGACTACTGGGGCAGTAAGGTTTTTGATGCAGAAGTTTATTTTTCCAGTGATGTTCATCTATGGCCACCTCTATCCAACTCCCCCCCCCCCCCCACACACACACACACTTTCACTGCTCAGTGCAGAGCCAACTCTAAATCTGAAGACAAAGTAAGCTGCACCTTCCCTACACATCATTTCTTCATAACTTTCTTATAGTTTCCTCCAGGCCACAGTGTATTTAAATTCAGCCTATTGTGACAACACGTTAAAATAGAGAACAGGTATGTTTTTATTCAGACTGCCTTATTTTATACATCATTGAATTTCAATCAGTAACTCTTCCAGTGGAGCTGGAGGGATTCAGCAGAGATTACATTTAGAGGGGAGGGTGCTTTTTGACTGGGTCTTACTTTGCCATCAACCACTTTACTTCAATGCACTCATGTTTTCTATCTCCCTTTGTTTTTCAGACTGTAGTATAAAATTCCATAGGAAAATGTCATGGATGGCAGAAGGGCTTTTTCAAATACACAAGTAATCAGGCCAAGTACACGATGAAATTATTTCTAGTGACATTTTGCTGATGTGAACTCATTACAACTTCTGTTGCTTTACAGCTTATTAATATTGTGATCCATACTGCTTTTAGAGTTAGAATGAATATTTACTATTCATCACTCAATGAATGTCCATTTGCCATTGAATGAATGGCATGTTCAACCTCTTTGTCAAGTTCAAAAGTACCTACACAAATTTTAAATTCACTTCCTTTTCTGTACATTCATTCCATAAATTTAAGTGATCCAAAATAATTAAAAGTTAACAACTTATACCAGTGGATTTTGTAAGTATATTTCCTCTCGTTTCCTGTTTATTTAAATCATTTTTGAATGTATCAGTCATTAGCTGCTCATAGTCCCTTTTGCACAGGGTTTCTTGACCCTAAAATGAATAGCATTTCTTTTTTTCGACAGTTTTTCCTATAGGGCATCATGTGCGAACAGACTAATAATACTACATCAAATAATGAAAATGGTAGCACACATAATTAGGGGATTAGAGAATGCCTTATTGGTGACTATTCACTAAAATCTATAACATTACTACTTGCATGAATAAACGAATCACTAATGCAAGTAAGGGATAACAGCTGGGCTGTGGATCACCAAACCATTTGTAAAGACTGTAATACTCTAGTTTACTCTGAATAATCTCACATTAAAGTCAGTGAAACTAGTCAAGTTATTACAGTGCACATTTTGAAAACATGTATAATAATGTAGACATTTTTCTTACATGGTTGAAGCCAATAGAATGACCTGAAACAGTAAGAATTGCATCTGGGATACAATATTTTCTGATATGATTTATGACCAATAATACGATGTATACACCCCGTATCTTTTATATCCTATGTAGCCCATAATGGAAGCCCTTAGGCTGAAATAAAAGTATTATGTCAATAGTGCAAGAAGCAAAATGACATGGCATTGAACACAAGCCAGTGAGTGGCTTGGTTGTTATTTAATAATAAAACAAACTTATCAATAAGTCATTATTAAGTCTAGAGGCCTACTACTGCAATTTTTGTTATTTCAAAACAAACTTTTAAAAGGAGAGTGGAGGTCCAGAAGA